ATGGCGGCTATGCGGGTTCGCACTCAAACTTGAAAATTCTCTCGAACTCGACTGTCTCTGTCTTTATCATGAAACGGAGCACATACAGGGTGTGTGCCGCAGCAAGTGCGAATCGCATAGGAAAATATTGTTTCTACATGGAGAAATAAGATCGTAAAAGTGCATTAATAAATATTTTTTAATTCATATTTTTTTGTTTAAATCCACGTTATCCTGGCTTTCTTTTACGTTAATTTATTTCTATAAGAAACATTCGAGTCAAATCCAAAATATGTTCGACAGGTCTTCAATCTTGAGCAGCGTCGCGACCGTTCATAGCAATGCTGACTCGCACCCTTGCTTAGACACTCGTAGTTACGTGGACGAGACCGTGGACCTCAAGAAAGAAGGAGAATAACAGGAGAAACGGTAACGGAACAGGAACGGGATGAGAATCGAGGCGGTAAAGGGGAGGCTGAGAGCGACGAGAGGAGAGGAGATGAGAGGAGATGAGGGCAAGGGGAATGTAGAAAGGACGGAGGGGTGTCAAGGCAGCCAAGAGGGAACGGAGTGTCGGTGGGGTTGCATCCCTACCCTATGATGGTAGAACTCCCCTTTTCGCAAGCACGCGGGGGTGGTTGTGGCTGGCAGCCGAAGGGGCTCCTAGCGGGATACTACCAGCCCCGCCCGTCATATTTCCTCTGCTCCAATCCCGCGACGGCTTTTTATTAGATCCATAAATCCATCATATCCATCTCTCTTGATCGTCTACCCGGACGATTCATTGGTTGGAAATAGGAGCTTATCAGACTCCGGTGCGAGGCAGTAAGGGCCGTCCGGCAGAGCTTCCTCGACCGCACCGCCAAACGACTCACTTGCCGTTGTCGAGCTGGCGCATTGCGGACGTTTCTTCAGCCCGCCTAGTTATTAATATTGAATTCCCCACCCCCCACCCCCTCACTCTCTCTCTCTCTCTCGCTCTCTCCCTTTCGCAACCCATCCCTCTTCAAGACTCGGTCGCTCCCTCGCACAATCTTCTTACCCGAGATGAGGCACTATGAAAAGCGGGGGATGCTCATCTAGGCAGGTGCTAGGTGCTGGATGGTGTACTTGTAGTCTATCTTTACTCTTAACGTTACTATAGTACTATTGTTACTGTTTATCGGCACGAGAATTGACGTGCTTGCTTCTATAATATACACTACAGGCGTCTAAGTTTGAATTTTCACGCAGATCTGTGATCCTGTACAAGTATCTCTGTATTAACCCGTTCTCTGGTGTCTTTTCGTTCGACCGGAGATTGAAAATAAAGAAAATATAGAGACACCTCTATGGCTGCTTTCCTTCGAAAAATCTATTGCGCAACCGTAGGTCGTATTCTCAAAAGAAATTAAGGAGGAAAGTAAAGTATACACGGGGTGGACCAGACGCCTAGCGTTTCACTCGTGGTTCTAACAGACGATGCTGGTGGTAGTACTGGCGATGGTGGTGGTACATTCGTGGACGGTGGGTGGCAGCCCTGGAGGACGTGAGGGTGAGTCGGGTAGAGCGGAAGACCATCGGCTCCTTGACGGACGCGAGGATCAATATCCTCCAATACCATACTCCGAAAGGTATATACGGACCCATTTCCAGCGCCAATAAAACGCCATAGCTAGGTGTATTGTGCTACAGGGCGATTCTTTACGCGGCCTCCTATTGGCCGTAAAACACTGCCCGCCGCTCGTCGGACTGGCGCGCTGACCGAAAGGTGGAATTTTATCGTGGCATCGTCAGAGAAACGAGGAGAGAGAAGGAGCCGCGAGAGAAGACAAGATAGAGACGAAGACGATGAGAAAGTCCAGTACCCCCGAGTAGCGTCCTCCTTCGCTTTATATATTTCAAGCGCCCGACGCCTCAAATAATCACGAGCGATTCGCAGCATCCACCTTTATGGAAGATACTTGGAAAAGAAAAAACAAAACAAAAATGTCATCGCAAGCCCCAATATCCTTTTTTTTCATTATTCATACTCAACATTCTGATAGCTAAAACATAACCAACCTCCCCCCACCAAAACTCCTCTACGAAGCCTGGGCTACAAAGAAAGGGCGTTCCACGATTCAGCAGGCGAGTTACCCCTCTTGTGGCTTCCGTACGTGCGCCCTTGAGGGTTGGTTCATATGAATATGATAACGGCGAGACGCAAAGCCCATTGGTCGAGAAAATCCTCCAATGACGAGGCTGGCTCGCGCAACCGTATCATAATGCCATAATATCTTGAGCAAGTAGAAAGGGCGATGAGGGACGAGCCCTTAAGAGAGAATAGTACGGCGAACGGCGTCTGTATTATTTAGTGATAGGTATATATAGCTATAGTTATATGGGTACTGTAGACCGGGCCTCGGAAGGAAGATGCGCCGTGTCGCTGCGTCTCTCTGACATTGGGACCAAGCTGCTCTCAACCCCTACAGCTACGAACTGTACAGACGTAGAGACGTATAGGGTGTATATAGGCGTATAGGGTGTATATAGGCGTATAGGGAGGTTTATGGCTCGCGCGGGTGGCATTATATCGCGGGACAATCGATACACACCCGCCGCCGCCACAACTCTAGCCCCCAACTCGCTACGGAAGGAACTAAGCTTACCACCGACCCCCCCACCCCCGTACCCCTTAGCCTTGCCCTTACCCCTTACCCTTGCACTTCTTCGTCCCTTGCCAAACATCCCTTTCCACCGGCACAACCGAACCAACCCTCCTCTGGTCCTCGCCACAAGCTTCGCGATGCCCTTTGTGTAAGCCACGAAAGCACCGCAGCGCCAAAAACCATTTTCCTCCACGAATAGCCTTTTAACCTTTTCGAAGCTCTTGCCGTTGTAGAATTATTAAGGAGACACGTGCAATTTAGAATATCTGGACTTATTAGCTTTTGCGGAGTTTATTAGTCGGCTTGGAATAGATAAAGGTGGATAGGGATGGTATGAATGGTAAAATCACACGTTGCGAATGAGAATGAAGGTAACGAATTGGATGGCGGGATACGAATATATGAGGAAGAAATAGATAGTATGAAAAAAAAAAGAAAAAAAATAAGGGGAATGAGTTAGTTTGCGTGAGTGAGGAGGAATAGCATCGACTAGCTGGACAACACGAGGACGATTCGACTACTTTTATATCGCTCCGGAAATAATGGGATTCCCATCATGAAGTGGATTTCCCCAGGGAGCGGTGGACATCGATGCACACGTCAAGAGATCCTACGCCGTCGGCCGTCCGTTTCCATCGTTCAGCCTCCCGGTCCCTCTTTTCTGTCCCGATCACGATCACCGATTCTCATTCCCAATTTCGTGACGACTTCTGCCCTTGTACCTATACCGCCATTGTATTTCCTATATTTCTGGTTGCTATTTATTCAAACCTGAATTTCATGAATTTCATGAATTTCATGATAGAATCTATATCACGGGATTAAAAACGTATTTGAGACGTGTAATTTAGAAATAAGTTACGTAAGTCATTTATGTCCCCTATGGCATTACATTTCTGTATATTTTACATACAGATATGGCTCGTGTTTTGTAAATTATATTTATACGAAAATACTAGTCCCCAGCATGAGCACCATCTAGGCGCACGTGGCTGCACTATGAAGTTAAAGATGCAATTGATCCTGCTTTCTAAGACTTCTTCGTCTACTGCCGTTAAGCAAACAGTCGGTATCAGTATTGGCTGATGGTAAATAGAGTACCAATCTTTATTTTGGGTCCAATTCAATTAAGCTTGGGTGTACGGGTATTTACGAACCCACTTCACCTAGGGTGTGTTTCATAACTCATTAAAAGTGCTGCAAACAATATTGAATCCTACTCAGATATACTGAGTACGCAGTACTTGCAGAAAGTTGTGAAAAGCACCCCTATTGAATTGCTATTTATCGATATGTTATCTACATTTTGGAAACATAAGCTAAAGAACCATTATTATCAACGATAAAATCGACGGAAGACAAATGCAAAGGCTTGAATTAAGAAGTCTAGAGTCGTTAACTCGGAATATCAAAAGAGGAACCAAGCTAATAACAGTTCGCGATCACCCTTAGTTAGTCAAATCGACCGCATGAAGCCCCGTCAAGCTGAAGCTCAAAGTAGGATAGACGTAAGGAACCACGTTCCCGGAGCATACGTACTTGGAATAGTGACGTCGAAAGCGAGGAAACGTATTTTTCATTCGTCTCTTGCATTTTCCTTCCTTATACGACACGGCATATGGGTCTTCTGCGTTGAAATGTTCCAAATATTCATCAAGAGAATTCGAAAAGAGAAAGGAGCTGTATCGTATAACGAAGCTAGCTCATCAAAGATTTTGGTAAATCATTTACAAATAAATGAGAAAAATAGAAAATTCGTTTCCTCTCCTGACGCCGCCACTCCGTATACGTGACTACAAATATGTACCTATACGCTAAAGAATGTAGTAAAGGACCCACCAACCCAAGATTCCCCAGCGCTCGCGTTTTCTTGAAGTATCTGATACGAATTGACAGTGATATCGAAGTGATATCAAGAGAAGGTATAGCTCAGCGAAAGAAATAAGGAAAATAGGTAGCACGAAGAGACAAAGGGAGATAAAGTAGGTGAACAGTGAAGAATATACCTTAAGAGAATGTTGATAAGAAGATGAAGAATTGGTGAGTGAACCAAAATAGAGAGAGAAAGAGAGAGAAAGATGGAGAGAGGGCGGATGATAGAAGCACAGAAGGAAGCGGCGTCCAAAAGTTCGATTCGGAAGATCGGCTCTCGGAAGACTGATGTCCATCCAGACCGATAAATTCTTCCGCGTACTAGTCAATACCCCTTCCCACTGGAGTACTGATTGACAAACGCTGTCTTCCTATGATAAATTGTTTAATCACACCTTGAACAGTGAACGTAAACAATGGACTGAAGTGGAGATGCAAGCTGATCGGTGCTTGACAATAGTACTATTTTGAACTACATACTGTAACCGTATCAACCAAGGAATAACTTCTTCTACTCACAGGTGGCAGCATTCTAGATAATTCCTCAGTATGTATGTTAGGTTTTAACTGTAAGAGGCTATGTGGCAAAGATCTCCTGAAACCAATATTTTTATATATCGAGTACTTGCTGACTTAAATTTAAAAATAGTATGTTTGATTTGCGTAGCACGTATACGCAGGAATATCTAGTCTATTTACCTTCACTCAATACGACACCAAAGCCTCTTGTTACTTAGCCCGGTAACTCTGTAGAACTATGCAGTAATGCCACCTATCGCGTGGGCATTACATCATTTATTACTTGGCAAGAAGTACAAAAAAGGTACATTTGCGAGGTTAATTCTACAAGCATGGTGTATCACTGAACTATGCCTATTTTCATTTAATTATTGATACCGTATTTAATTTCGCAAAATGTCTCTTATCTTAAAAACATTGACCAGTATACAATCATTCAGTAACTTATTGAAACCTGGGTATGTGTCATACAGTATATAAAATCATATCGAGGTACAGTTCAGAGTATATATAGTTAACATAGTTAAAAATGATTATTGTTTGTTAGAATCGAAGTTACAACCCTTGCCAAACGTGGAGCCAAGCGTTTAAATCCGTATCCTAAAAAGCGACATCCTGGATGGTTGCCGAGGCCAACTCATGTTGTATGTTAACATTATACAACGGATTTAATACTTATTAAAATCTATGTTTATTCGTTACAATTAAATGTTTATTCCACAGCTTTATAAAGATGATATCACACCAGAGAATACAAAATTCATTAAGGAAGTAGTCGAAACTAGATTTGGCAAACCAGATGTAGGGCTTGGTATGCAGTCTAAAAGTATTTCGCCACTTCGTAATGAACCCATTGAACCTCAGACTGAATGGAAGGAAGGAATGCGTCGCACTGGAGTAATTGCTAAAAAAATTGGAGTTTATCCCATGTGGCTAAAGGATGGTACAAAAGTTCTATCCACGCTATTGCAGGTAAACAAATTATTACGATTGCTATAGTTAGGAGTGCTTCTAGAAATACCTCATGGTGTCTATGTCTTTATAGGTGATCGACAACCATGTCATAAGGTACATGTCTCCAGAAGAATATGCTCCTGTTATTCAACGGAACAATATCCGCAATCGTTTAGGTTGTTTAATTGTAGGAGCAGAAAGTATGGACCCACAATTAGTAAGTACCCCTCTTAAAATCATGACCTATATTTATCTTAGTTCATCGTACTTAATATGGATCGAACCTTCTATATTCACAGTTTACTAAGGAATATTGTGGAGTATTCAACGAGTCAGGTGTATTACCAAAACGTATGCTAGGCCGTTTTCTAATTTCTCCAAATGCGGCATTACAACCAGGAACCCCTCTCTATGCTGCACATTTCAAACCAGGTGACTATGTTGACATCCGTGGCAAAACGTATGTATCAATAAATATGGAATCTATCCCACAAAACTTCAGTATCCTGTATATTTTTTGATTGCTTGTGCAGGATCGACAGAGGATTTCAAGGTGTTATGAAGAGATGGGGTTTCAAAGGTATGCCTGCTAGCCATGGAGTTACCAAGACTCATCGAAGAGGAGGAAATATTGGTTCTGGTGGCACAAAAGCTCGTGTTATGCCAGGCACAAAGATGCCAGGACACATGGGAAATCGCTGGCGTGTATTTCGTGGGATTCGAGTACGTATTCTGCACGCTTGATTTTTAATCTTAATAAATTTCTCATATTTATCAAGACACTATAATTTTGTTTTTAGATCTTACGAATAAATACTAAGTACAACGTTATCTGGGCTCTTGGACCGCACATTCCTGGTGAAACCAACAGCCTACTGTATATGTACGATACGGTACTACCTACAAGAAAACCTTCTACCGCACCGCATTTCCCTACGTATCTTCCATCTATCCAGGAAAATCCTGTGGAAGAGGAACTGTGGGCAGAAGACGTGCATCGTTTCGACGATCCCTGCATAGAATTTATAGAGGAAACAAAGTAAGTTATTACGTGGTGAAAAAGTGAAAACACTCATGATATACCTTCATCGTATTCACTGTTTCCATCATCATCTGAAGATTGTATAACGGTTGATGACGGAGGACTACTGCACCTACAGCATATTCATACTAGACTTTTATTCGTGTTGTGTTGCGCCTTCTTACAGAACGTCCATAATATGGAATTATACTAATAAAGAGTAGTTAATCGATTTATTTAGTAATCAATATCATTATAAATTTAACATGCCTAAAATATACACGAATCGTTTATAAATATAACATCGTGAACCAAGACTCGGCCCGAACACGAGAGTAGAGAGCGGCACGGGTGAGCTCTGATAATTCCTTGGCTTCTTCGTGGTTTTGACAATAATCGTCGAACTGAGTAATTTTTAATACACGCCATTAGCGATGATGGCGTCGTATTCCTAGCAGCATCTTTAATAGACTTGTTCCTCTAATGTAGATGTATAATAAAAAGTACAAGGTATATATCTACGGTAAAAAGTAATCGGAAGAAACGAAAGAACACGATCGATCGAGGGGAAGAGATGTCGAGGATGTAAAATTCGATTTCGATTAACGAGTTACGATTTACGATTTGGACTTTACATTTTTTTTTCTTTTTTTTTCACATTGCTCCAAGTGGCACTTGTTTCGGTAGCAAGTTTTTTTTTCTCTCTTTCTCGAGCAGTGTGTCACTGTGTGCCACTATGTGACACCTTATGTATATCCATTTTTACACGGGTGCACACTGCATTGCTCTGAGAGGCGTGCGTAGCTCTGCAAATGGTACTACGTTATTGTTGTTTTACATTATATCCTGTCTATCGTGTGCGATTATCGTAAATAACCGTTACGCGCAGAAAGGCCAGTAATTCGCGCAATATTGTCGGGCCGATTGAAATCGAGATTCTTGGTTCAGCTGTTGCGCGTAGGTGACGGCACGTGTCGTCTTCGGAGCGAGGAGAGGTCGTCGTAGGTCAAAGGAAGGGAAAGCATAATAACTCTGCAATAGAGTCAGTGTCAATGTTGGATTCGCTGTCGGAATTGGAGTCTCTTGATGGAGGACGGCACGATCGAATGTCACCAAGGAACTGCCCCCGCCCTCTCAGAAATTGAATTCTTCGCTTGGAGCAGACGTCGTTGGATCAAATTCAAATGTCCCTTCGGCAACCTGAGATGTCAAGTTGGCATCGTCCGCCTGTGCAATAATACAATATGGTATAGTATGTTATATTGTCTTTTTTACAAAAACGTGATTTTTATTAGTAAAATCTTTCGATACATACCTCTTCCGAAAAGTATTGCTCGATAATATCATAGGCTAATTTGTAAATGTCCACGTTTTCGTGGTTTTGCAACGATTCGATTTTGTCCAAGCCTAGAAGCAAATTATACATGCGTTTGATTTATGGCAATTTTTTACGAACGTAATTAAAAAATGTGCTGAATGTTACCTGAACATTCTTCAATCATATTAGCCAGTTGTTCCACCTGAGGTCCGGCAAGCTTGAGCATATTGTGAATTCCGTCAAGTACCACCTGCACAACCTGAGTGTCTTTACATACTAACAGATCACAGAATGGCCCGATTACGCCTTCCTGAATAAGTCGTGCAACCTGTTCCCTATTTCCGCTTATCGTCAGATTGCTAATCGCCCACGCAGCCTCTTTTTGCGTTTGAAACTCTCCCTGTTAGAATAAAATAAGCACAGTGTTAGAGAATGTTGAATGGGTCTCATAAATGATTTTAAAGAGGATGAATCATATACAACCTTCGATAAATTACGAATAATGAGGGGTAATAATCCCGCATCGATAACCGCTTCCACCTGCGTCTGATTTCCAGCTGTTATGTTCGAAAGGAACCATACAGCCTCCTTACAAATCTTTTCTTTGGGATGGGTCAAGAGATTTGGGAAGTGGGATAGTGCATCACAGTTAAGGACTGTTTGAGTTTGCTCATCAGTACCAGTAACAATATTTCCTACTGCTCTTAAGGCGGCGGTTTGCACTTTGACTTCTTTGTGCGATAAAAGCGGAATAAGATGTGGTACTACACCGCTGTCAATGACCATTTGAATTTGCTCGTTGCCACCATCCGTTAAATAACTCAGGGCCCACACAGTGTCAATGAGGATCTATAAAATTTAGATAATTTGTATTTATTGAATAACTACTTTCCTTGTCATCCTATTACCACTAATGACTTACATTCATGTCCGTATGATGAATGAGTACATTGAGCGCTGGTAAAATGTCCTTTATCGTCTGAACTGGCGGTGGTGGATCTTTACTTCTACATAAATTAACGATCACCCACGTGACGTTGCGCAAGAAAGAAAGGGGTATCTCCGGTTTGATGAACGTTAACAGCGGCTGTACAACACCAAGATTAATAACATAATCTCGTGGTACCGGTCCATCTCCGATAATATTTCCTACAATTACATAGAAATATGTTTAGAGTTTTTTTGCAAAATTATGTCATAAATGGGGATAAGTGCACCAGATGTCGTTAGTGAAAATACTGATATCGCTTACCTAAGGCCCAGACAGCCTGTTCACATACATTTTGCTGGCTGGAAAGAAGCAAGTGTAAAAATAATGGAACTGCACCAGCAGCCACAACTGCTTGTGTTTGAGCAGAGGTGCCACTTGCTATGTTCGTTAAGGCCCATGCTGCCTCAAATTGTAATGATGGTCTGAAAAAATATACGTTTACGTAATATAGGCTTCAAAATTACCAATTATGACAATGAAATGTAGCATACTGTAAATTGTAACATACTGATTGTGTTGCTCGAGGCAATGGACAAGAATTGGCAGAATACCACTTCTAATCAATGGATCGATCGGTGGATTACGATCCGATGATAACAGTTTTCTTGCAGACTGTACTGCCTGTAATTGTACAGCAGGATCGGAACTACCTGCTTTCATTACTAGAGCCTGCAAATCTACTTCTGACAGAGTCTTCTCTACATCATCTTCATCTGTTAAAAATAATTATTATATGAATAATCATATAATTAATAATATAATAGGTATTGCAACTAGGAATTCAATTATTATAAATGTTGGAAACATACCAGTGGAATCTGTAATAGGTACATTTCTCCTTTTCAGCAAAGTTTCTTCCCTTTTGTTTTTGCGTAGTTCTACAGTGACTTCATTTCTTCTTCTACGCATTTCCTGAAATACAACCCAGCATGAGTACAAACATTATAACACTAGTCCTACTTGTTCGCATATTGTAAATGTATTAAATTCGTGTTACACTTCTATAAGTATCATAGCTTAAAAATAGAAGCATGTAATGGAAAACTGAGCCAAAAATGGCTAAATACTATTACAGTAAGCATTTACAAACAAAGGGGAGTAAAAGAAAAAGGAAAAAGTAAATCACGATGCTAGTCAGAAGTCACGAGGGAACACATTGTTACATATCCGCGTTTATTTTTTCTACAACACCACAGCAAAAGAATAACGCACGGATGGATCAGCATGTAGTACATACCTCTTGATCTTTCCCTTTGTTCTTGAAAACCTGCATTCGGGTCTTGTTTTGTAGTTCGGCGGCCATTTTTACAATAACCAATTTTCGTACTCGCACTGAATATTATGCCGGTACCGGGAACACTGATGCTTGTCTGTTTGATTCACTGTTTGCCTGCTGCTCGTCTCGCGAAGTACGTGTTTCCTTGATTCCTAGCCTGGTTACTTGACTTCTTGCTATTTTGACTTCTTGGTTATCTAGTGGCCTTACTTTAGATTATATTACCTGTTCTGCTTCTAGTCTGCTCTGGCTTGTCTTGCTATCTAGCTGGCTAGCTAGCTAGCTAGCTGGCTGCCTGCCTGCTTGTCTGAGTGACTGGCTGCCTGCTTACCTAGTGGCTTCCTTGCCTGTCTACGAAATAGTCCTTTTCCGTATAAAATCGAATATTTATTTCAGCAATAGCATTTCTTCGCACGAGAACTCAGTATGCTTCAATATGCAATATCATGCATAACAGTGTCTTGCTTTTTCGCAGTCACTAGGAACAGTCACGTTTCTCCGCACGATCGCAGTTCTTCGGCCGTTCGGAAAAACCGAGAAGAATCAAGAAGATGGTGTTCCGAAAGACCGTGACTTCAACGTCCCTTCTGCACACGTATGGCTGACACGATCATGAAATCATGAAATGCGAGACGTTGCCGTTTAGGGTGGCATACGCAATCAACGACAAAATTTTAATGTTAGCTATACCATTTGTTGGTAAATATAAAACATATTACTTTCTTTTTTTATCTATTTTATCCTAGTTATGCGATGTATATGGAAAGGCGGTCAAATCGAAATTTGGCAAATATCGTTACGTATTAAGTACGGCGTTTTCGTATTCGTTGAACTTGAAGAGAGCTAGATCCTTCGTGGGTTAAGGTTCACGAGCCTTCGGACACGTAAGATTGCTCTTATAAAGTATATGCGAACAGTAGATCACATTTTTTGGAACAATTCCTACGATACACTTTAATTACGAAATAAGCCTATTGAACTCTTGTATTTAGAAGATAAACCGGTTACTTATACATACGTAATAGTGTGTCAAAGACGTTGGTTGTGTAGTGCTTGTGGTTACACAAGAAGCAGTACACGATTGGCTGCAAAAGCTATATAAATCAAAATTAATGGAAAAGGAATAGAAAAACAAACCAGGAAGGGGGAAAAAACTGTGTGGCTCCATAATTTCCTTGAAAAATTAAAAAGATTGTAGTTATTTGCGAAGTTAAATGTTGCGAATTATAATACACTCACATTATTTAGCTGCACTTTAGGAATAAATTAATACAATAAGAATAAAAATAATAGAATATTTATTTTTCAATATGTAAAATATATATTGGACTAATGTCATTAAATGTTTTCTGTTTTCATACTTTAAATAACATCGAAGCATTTACATTTGTTTTGTGGTTACCAGAAGCATTTTCTACCACTATGCTTCCTGTGGTCTCATAAAATTTTTTTTATACAGATAAATGAGGTATATAAAAATAGTAGTCTATCTGAATACATAGCTTTATGTGTATGTATATCCATCAGACGAATAAGTTTGTTGAGTGACTTGTACTTGTCCTTATTCATTATGACTTAATATCCCAGATAACACATACCATCTAATAGTCATCTATAAGATGTTTAATACGATAGAGGTTGTGTTTCAAGAATCTTAAAGATGACATTAGAGTTTACATGCTGCTTAGCATCAACCACCATATAAAACAGTAAAGTATTGGATTCATCTCAGAATACATAAATAATATAGAAAAACCTCCACAATTCTCACTATGTGTAAAAAAGAAATAAAACTAAAATTTAACTGGCAAAGACATGGTTTGCTGATAGTGAAGTTTTTCAGGGTGACTTATACAGGCATGACTGGTAAGTCACAGGTTTGAACCAACATAGTTATATTCTTATAATACTATCATAACACCATATCTTATGCCAGTATTTGTGGAGGAACCCAGCCTCCGAAACCTCTTTCCAATTCCTCAGCTATGGCTAGAGTTAAATGATCTTGGTAGAGGCCTCCAATAACCTATATTAATTTTTTTTCCATTAGTGTTGTACTTTCATACCATATTTATTATTACCTAATCATATAAACTTACCTGTATACCAATCGGTAATCCTTGCTTGTTCAAACCCAATGGACATGCAGTAACTGGTAGACCCAAAACATTTATAATAGCAGTATATGAGAAGTTGAATGGTTTGATGAGAGGTTCATGATGCATTGGTGCTGCGGTTGGATGTGTAGGATAAAGAAATACTCCATCCTCGCCTAGCATATCCTTTAAAAATAGAAATTAACACTGCATCAACTCGATCATGAACATAACATAACATTTTGAACAACAAAAACCTACCCTGAACTCTTGATAAAGCTCTCTGCTTTCTTGTATGAGCTTTACATGCTCCTCACTGCCATATTTCACGCCGAATTTCTCAAAGGCAGCAGTAAGAAGTGCAATAAGTGTATGTGGACTTATACATAAAGCCCATTTCAAAAATTCAAAAGGTAGATTGACTTGACTTTTTCTATTTGTCATTTCATAAGCAAAACCCTTGCCATCCTTACAAGCCATATTAGCCAACCAAAGAGCATTACTTTTCCTTAATTTCTTGATGTTCACCTTTGCAGCTTTTACTTGATGTGCTTTTTCTAAATAATGTATAACCCTCCTCATACTATTTTTTATCTCTGGGTCCACAGGCGACACGCAATACTGACCACCATCATCCTCCATATAATAGAACTAAATCAATAATATTAATTAATTATAATACTGCCTATCATTATAATTGAAACATTGCTTGCAGCATATACTTACTTTGATCTTAGATATATCAACTTTCGTATCTAACTTTACTGCTTCGCAATCTTTATTAACAAGTAATTTGAGCATTGGGAGCAAGTCTTGGGCGTATCTACACATTGGTCCTACTCCTAAAAGCTGACCCTGATCTTCACTGAGAGGACTAGGAAATTGGCCTTCATAGGATACAATACCTGTTTACCAATAATATAATATAAATTTCTAGAAATTAGAGTTTAGTCAAAAAGAATACACTACCATCTGTCATGTAATTATTGATAACTTATGAATCGAGCATTATAGAGTTCAAACCTTTGGATGGTTTGTGACCAAAAATTCCGTTGAAAAAAACTGGCATTCGAATGGATCCACCAATATCAGATCCGATTCCAAATGGAGAACCAGCTGCAGCCTGTATGCAACCTTCACCACCTGACGAGCCACCGACAATGTGCCTACACACGAAAAACATAATATAAACGTATTCGAACTTCTGGCAAAAAACAAACAAGCATACCTTGTATTGTATGGATTCCGACTGGTACCATAAATGCAGTTACTACTTTCCCACCACATTCCCAATTCTGAGACGTTTGTCGTAGCAAGAGGAATTGCACCAGCTAGTCTCATTAATCGTACCGCTTCTGCATCCTTCTCGGCAATACTGTTTTTTCGAATAACCAAACCTGCAGTTTGTCTCATTCCTTTTATACCTATACAATCCTAAAAAAATGATCTTTTATTGATTTCACGTTACAAATATTTCACACTATCCACCAACAATTCTCTACCTTAGTGGTAAAGGGCACCCCTAAAAACGGTTTCTCTTTTGCTAAAACTTCTATACTGGGTGCATTAGCCATTTTCAACATTTCATCACATTTTCTAGCTTCCTCTAAAGCTTCTTCAAAGCGTGTCTCCACTACGCAATTCAATATTGGTTGAATTTCTTTAATTCTCTCAATATAAGACGTCACGACTTCCTCCGATGTTAACTATAAAGTTACATACAAAAAACATCGATGCATAAATATTATGTTTTTAGTATATCATGCATATGTATGTACCTATTATGAGTATGACATAATCATATCCGTGAAAATTAGCTTTAAATATTATTAACAAGTAAATCTGTTTCAAATTTTAATAGTGCTAAATTCCTGTTTATCTATTGATAGTAAAATCCGTGAAATGAGGTTTCGATGATCGGTACCATTTTCGTACCCACTTCAACATTTAAATACCATTAATAAATGTGTGATTAAATATTTTTGCTTACTTGTCTATTTCGTATTTTAATGGCAAGCGCTGTGGCACTATGCAATAATGTCAGGTCTTTAATTGGAGGCTGCGACTCCGCTGGTCCGCTAATGTACGCAATGATAAGGAAAAATCCTCTTGCAATGAGTTCTACCAGCCTGTGAATTATGCGAATAAGTTGCCCCATGACTGGCATCTTTTTCGAGTTTTTTTCTTTGCTCAACATTTACCTGTTTGCACAAAAAAAAACAATCATGAAATATGTAACTATCTGCATGCCTGGTGGAAAATTATAACATTCATTACGTTTCCACTCAGGTCTGATAAACACTATTAGGCTTTTTCATATGACAGAAAAACTGTTTGCTTTAGATTACCAGAAGTAGCTGCTCCAATGATATTGCATTATTTTGCAGTTGCACATGGTTTACGGAAATTAGCAATCAGATAATTAATGTATAGGATAATGGGCAGTCAATTTTTGTTTACAACTGTCAGTACGGTATTTATTTCATGCACTCAATTAATAACTATGTTGTTTGTTGAAATTCTAAAATTTGTAATAATATATTTTATCTTAGATTTTTATTAACCGATCTAGTTCCACCATTTATTTTCTTTCATTAAACTTTATCTGTTCATAGTTTGGGTATATTACTGACAGAATACTGATATTATTTTTCTTGTTACACGTGTCGGCAAACACACTTGAAAATTCTCAAATAAACGAAAAGCGGAACAAATAAATGGAGCGTGAGAACTACGTTGAACGATGCAAACTACCATAGCGTTCGGCCGCATTGAGCCGTTTATTTTTTTTGAGAATGTATAATGGGCTATAAAAAATATAAATCTGGTAGACGGACTAGTGTTGAACACCGGTTGACAAAAATAGTGTAGAAAAACGAAGACGTAATCATATACGATGACTATAGTCATATTCGCAAATTTCTGCCATTTATGTAATTCACACGATAATTCCCTATATATAAATGTATTGTTACGTTTCTGTAAACCGTCTAGATGTTATTCTCAAATTTTACTTGACACCTTCAGTAGATGAGTATCACCTCAGCATTAATAATTCCTTATGGTCCACCGCGATCGAGACACTCCCTTACGCAACATATACTATTGTATAAGACGACTCACCACATTATTTAATTCATAAGGCAAACGAGACTAGATTACTAATGAACGGTAATAATTATATCGATGAGTCTATTACCACTAGTTCATTTATAAATGGCATAGTGAGATCTCTAAATTCTGATCGGTATCAATAAAACGTAAAAATCGTTCTTGAATGAATACAGAGTGTGCAGCCTGTTGATGCGACATTCTCGGTCCTTTCGGATGCGTGTCTAGAAACACTGCTTCGTAAAGTGAGGCTTCAGCGGCACTCATGGCGAAATACGTCCATTTGTCACAAAGCTCAAATGACAACTGATATTATTGCTACAAAATATCTTAGGCGAATGGTCCATCTGCCTGCTCCCGTTGGAACTTCCCGTCAAACGACTTCCAACTATAAGTTTTTTTAATCACGGTGTTTTCGTAGACTGTGAACTGTATTTCCTGTTGCGTCAGTCTTACGCATCTTTATACATAGTATATACGTGACATCAAATTAAAAGCGAATTACGTTCCTTGAGTCATCGTATAAAACATTCAAGGTAGCAATAAAGAAAAAAGGGAATAATGGACATTCACGTGATGATAGGAAGTCCTTAAAACATGACGCTTGCCAATGAAATTTAACACTTCCACTAGAACGGTACTCAAGTTAATTCAAAAGGAATTAATAAAATAAAGTGCTTTCAAGGTACCTATAATTTTCTCAAAACTCTGTATATCTGCATCGGCTAATTGTGAAAAATGGAGTAAAGTGCCGACTGGAATCAATACAAACTGATAATCCAATAAAAGGATTTTATCGAATTATAACATGTGACAGACTGATGTCTCGATGTGAATTGGACGCTCGCTAAAATACATCCGGCATTTATCATACAGTATATACATTTAATTCTATAAATGTAATAGGTCCATAGACAATACTTTGAAATTGCTAGCACTGTGTATAAAGAACACGTATCAGCATATGGGCGTTATTATTAATATAACGGGAGACTTCTGTCTTCTCAACTATAAATTATTATCTGATATACTTACAAAGTTATCCGCAACTACACAAGATGTTTATACTTTCTGTGTTCTGACTATACTTTCGTGATATACTGGTTCTCAATCTATCGTTATCTTCTCAAATTTGTTCACATCCATAAAAATGTTTGCACAAGTGTAAAAATCATTTGCATGTCACGTCTCCAGTCATTACTTGTAGATAGATCGTTCAATGACTCCCAAGTACATTAATACTGCACAAAATGAACGCCGGTCACTATATGTCTTCCTCGGTGTTGCTAATGTTACTGGACGATCAGCCTGGTTCAGTCATTCTCCACCGTTCTCCTCCCATTTTGTGATTCCTGATTACTACAGCGCTCTTCAAAACGCACACTTCGGCACGCACGCGTCGCTCCTGCAAAGGCTTGGCTGAATGGTCCGCTTCCCGACCTGCATATGTAGGAGAATGTCATGGATAAGTATCATCACGACGCCCTTTTCTATGTGTTAGTGAAGTGCTCTGGACCGGCAGTGAATGTCACTTTACCGAGGCCACTTGACTACGATTACCTGACAAAGAAGAACTTAATTTCAGTGGTTATCTCGTTATTGCATACTGTTCGACCCGTTTCTATTTGAATAGTGAGTATTGGAGATGGTGGTACATTTTTCTTCGATTTCTAGAGATGGTTGTTATTCTTAGTATATTGAGGTTAAATCCGTCCTGACTGTAGGTAAACTAGTTGGATACTTATCACTTGAGAATGGAGCAATTATTATTATTTATTGATTTTTCTTTTGATACCATATCTTTCTTTTAAGTGATATACCATGAAATTACAATTGCTATTAACTCATTTTAATTGGTATTTCATTTTTACAACCTGTAGTAGTATGTATGGATTAAGTTTGGACGGTGCTGCCCTCTTGGTATGTCTGCCAGTAAATACGTTCACATCACACCAAGTTTCCTAGATGTGCAGATACAATATTTTGACGGAACAAAATATTAATAATTTATTGTTTATTGTTGACTAGCTTGTAAACACTATGGAACCTAACAATTCTCAAGGGAATGAGACAAGATCGGAACAATCAGGCGATAAAGATTCAGACAGCGAATCAAAATATCTTCAAGAGAGAATAAAAAAAGTTGAAGTAAAACCACCCTCGTCGCCGACGAGTCTTTTGGCCCGAAATGCTGTACTCTTACCTAGTGGAGTCGCCAAGGTGAAGCAACTGGAAGTCAATGAAAATCTTGCACCTTCAACAAGCATCTCCACAGGTTCAGCGACAGGTAATTATTAAATTTTATCCGGATATAAGTATTATCTTTGACATAACATCACGTACCATTACATCCCATAAGTGGTGTGTTCCACAGATCCAATACATATTTTAATTGGTTTTTAAATAATTCAAAGCACCCAGAATTGTAGAGGCTTCCTTTACGCATAAAAGATATCACGATGGCTGACCTAATTGGATTTACATGCTGTTCCTAAAGGAATTTTATATGGTAACCTTACAATGAAGTTGTTCCTATTTTCGAAAAGCCTCGTAATATCGTATGGGACACGCAAACTTACGGAACCTGTTGAATCCATTTATGGGGCAACAAGTGTTTTACATTTGCCGGTCGCACCGCGAATTTCGAACTGTAAACAGGCATGTGGGAAATTCACTCGACTGACCATTGCCACACCATATTAACCCAACCCATTCTGAAACGTACCGTAGGGAAAATGTGGTATTATTATATTACCACAATAAAGGAGACACTTGGGAGTACCTCTATGCATAGACGCGTCTGTGCATAATGGTCTATTACATCCGATTAATAGGAGATCTAAGTTTATGATTTTCATAGTTTTCTATACTATTTCTGAGTAAGAGGGGGATAGACTAAAGGGCGATTATGCGCAAACCGTCTAAGGTTTGTTTGTCTCATTTGCATAAGCTACAAGTGTATGATAAAAAGTGTACAATTTTATTGGACCTTTGTTATGGCTAATCACTAAAAATTCACACTTTGTACACACATACAATTAATACAGACGAAGCGAACAGGTCTATAAATAAATAAAATATTATTTGTCAAACCCTTACCAATAGAATATAATTAATAAAACTAATACAATCGTAAATGTTTTTTTTTACTCTTGAAATTGCTTATAAATAAGTTGTTTGTCAAAGACTCATTTGCACTGCCAAAATAACCATTAAAATTTCAACGGCTGTGTTACTAAACTTCTCGCAAGCTTCCATCTGTCGTAAACTTTGTAAATTCTTCAGCAAACTTCAAGTTCTCGGTAACTAATTGAGGAGCTTTAGTCAGGATAAAACAAATTTTCCACTCTATGCCTCACTGGTCCTTTTTCCTTTTTATGATCCATCATTACAATACAGAATTTTAATCAGCTTGAGATATTAGAGAAGTTGGGCGAAACTGATGGCTGTATTTTAAAGCTGCCGAATAAACACTGGTAAATTAAATAATTTGCAATTACAGGACATTTATTTTTCTCTCTCCGCCATTCAAATTCTTGCGCTTTCGGTTCTGGAGACTAACAATAAGTACTACTTTCGCATCGATCGTACCAGTCCTAGTTACGCCATAGGCACACAATAACTTTTAGCTGTGTTCTCTATATTTCTTTTGAAATATTGGAATATTTTCATTTACATCTTGTTGAATTCCTGGAGAGGTACTCGGTCCTCCAAGAGGAGCTCGTGCTACTCTGCGTAACCGGGAGAGCTTGCTCGCCCGCTTCTATATTGATCTATCTGTCTTCTCCGAGTGTTTCGGTATTGGTCGGTGTGTTTTAGCGCAGTCCCTCGCAATCCTCCGACCTGGGAACAGCAAATTCGCTATTCCCCATTAAACTTCGTCGAATTGTGCTAAGCTATTCTAAGCCGTGCGCGCATAATTGAGGACTTTACATTTGTATTACTACCTTTGACGCTTTGGTACTCTCTTGTGGTCGTTATACGTCACTGTCGTAAACATTTTTTGAATTGGCGGGATCAATCGGGTTCAGTGTGTCTATATGTCATATTTAACATAAGCAAACAGAAAGTCAGTGAATTGAAAAGACTGCCTTTACGGTTAAGATCATAGTATTTATTTTTTCATATGTATTTCTCATGGAGCTATTCGAATTTTTTATATCGTCATTTTTTTTCGAAATTAATTTCCCATTGGAATTTTCATTTATAATGCATTCTATTTGAGGATGATCAATCAGGAGGTCAGGTATGACCTATATGATCGAACCACGTGCTCCAAACGGTGGAAACCCTTTGGTTAATTCATTTTAGACAAAGGGATATCGACGTGTCTTTATTTAAAAGGAGATATGGTTCTAAAGTTTTGGTGTTTCTGACGGGTGACAAAGATGCCCCGGTGTTGTGGGGCACCAGCTATTTCAGCAATGGACGAGGATGGCCGCGGCCTCCGGGTCCAAGATGGTTAGTAATTACTGTAATTGTCAATTAGTGGATATTTCCGTGACTGACTACGTAGTAGATCTAAATGTAATAAAACGCCTTGAGAAATAATAAACGTACTGCTTCCAGGCTATAGCACTTTATTTTGACAAAATACTAGAACGTTATCTCAAGCACTTTTGGTCATTTAAAACTTTAATGATTTTCAGGAAATCCAAGAAACAAGACTGCACTAGCGCCAGGACATAGTCTAATGGATTGGATTAGGCTTGGTTCTTCTGGAGTTGACCTTACTGGAGTTGGTGGTGTTCCCCGAATAGTAACTACAGCTGAACTAGCCAAGCACGATAAGAGAACGGATGCTTGGATTGCAATTCGAGGTTTGAAACATGTTGTATGTTTATAAAATATGCCAGGCTAATGTTAATTCATAATCATAATTTTCAGGAATTGTTTATAACGTTACAAGATATATGGATTTTCATCCAGGTGGTATTCCTGAACTGATGAAAGGTGTAGGAAAGGACGCGACTAAACTATTTGAAAACGTAAGGTGTTCCTCTCATTTATTTTCCTTCATTATCTACCGCCAATGGCCGACACGTCGATCGAATATCTTGACGCACCCGCAGATCGTTAATTTCAGGTACACGCCTGGGTAAATTATCAAAGCATATTACAAAAGTGTGTTGTGGGTAGATTAAGTAAATTGTCGAGCGGAAGCACTGAGAAAAATTTAAATAGCAAATCGGTTGGCACGTCCAACACGTCTTCTGGTCTTCTATCGAGTTGTACCAGTGAGTAAACATTGTAAATGAACGTGTATATATATGTATATATATGAAATACTTAATTTATTACTTCTATTTTTATAGAAAAAAATGAGGAGAGTCCAGCGAAGAATTCATCAATTGTGAAAATGGATTGGCAGCAAACGAGTCAATCGATTACTTTTTCTTACCATATTGCTACAGGATATCACGCCGTTGGATATCAATTGACACGATTAAGCGAGAGGAAATTTCGTTTGATTCTTTCATTTGATAAAGATATTGTAACGCACGAGTTGGAATTGAATGAAGATGTTAATTGGCCTCCAAGATGGTCACGGAATTTTGAAACAATGGATGTAAGGTTTTTTTTAATTTGATTAATATCTTACTGTTACAACATTTCAGCGATATGTGTAGATTATGCTTAATTCCAATAATTAATGCAAGATTTTCTCTGGTACAGGTTGATTTTACTTTTACAAAAAAGAAAGGAGCTACATGGAAAACGTATGGATCCTGTATATTACTAAGCGAACCAAAGACTAAACAGCGTAGTTACAAGGATTATGAGGTGATCAGTAATACATCTTTGTGCGAAAATGTAAATCTTTTAGTACTTAGAGCCAATGATTATTTGGAATTGGTACCCGTTGGTCATCACGTTGAAGCCAAAATGCTAGTAATGGGTAAGATCAAATTTATTTCCATTTATTTCAATACAGTGTAGCTTTCATAACTCGAACTTTTAGAAGTCAAAAATCTCTGTAAGACTATGAATCTTGAAATTTTCTAATGCTTCACTTCTATAACATGAAAACCCCGACAGGTTGAAACTATAATAATTCAAAGCATATTTTATTTCCCTTGAAATTCGAATTATCGAAGTTCCACTGTATTATGATTTTCACTAAAAACTTTACGTAAGCCTGTTAAATCTACTTTTATTCAGGAATGGAAGTCTCAAGGAGGTACACACCAGTACCGCCGTGCCTTCATCCAGAGGACATGGCACCTGGCTATGAAAGTGATTCTTTGTGTTTGATTGTTAAACGTTATCCCGATGGTGCCCTTAGTCCGTCCATTACGTCCTTAAAGAAGAGTCAAACCCTGACACTAAGCCACGCACTTGGAACATTCGTTGTTGAGAATTTCGATGAATTTTCAACCATTCATATGCTGGCTGCTGGTACAGGGCTAACAGCTATGTTGAGCATAATTCAACGTGCTCTAGGTCGACGTAACGTGTAATTAATTAAAACAATATCAAATTAAATTACAATATAATGCTTTAATTGGAGATATTTTAATTCACGTACAATTTTTGTTTAACATGTAGCACGAGGATGAACCTGGTATGCTTCAACAGAAACCAAGCAAATATTTTCTATTCCAAACAATTGAAACGTGTGAGTAACACTTCTAGGTCAGTATTTGTTTATAAAATTATTGAAATTGATCAGAACATAATTATTTTATTAAAATTATTTATTGCTGTTTAGATTAAAGGTGACTCATGTTCTTTCGCAACCGGATGAGTCCTGGGCCGGCAGACGTGGTACAGTATCACATGAATTGCTCAAAGACCTCATTGGTGAGTTATCCAGCCAGGGATGTGTTTTCATTTGTGGTCCAGAACCTTTTCTAAAAGCCACAAGGGAGTAAGTAATTATTTTAAAACTATCATATCATTAGTTTACCAAAGTCTTCTAAAAACTCAAATTTATTTTACAGAGAGTTACAAAAACTCGGCTGGAAAAAATCGCAAATTCATGAATTTGACGATTAATGACGAAATGTCCTACAGATGGTAATGATATCATCGAGTCTCTGCAAACTTATTGACGTTCTTGTTAGTCATGTCAAGAAAATAAGCAGAGAAACAATGTGGGAACATAAACGTACAACTGTTGTACAATTAAAATTGTGGATACAAGGGAATGGTAGTCTTATTGAATTCCGTCTGTGATGTCATAGTGAAGTCCCCCTGGAACTTTTACAAGGCCTATTTAATTTCGGCATGAAAGTATGAGAATATTTATGCAACGTTAATTTCATGTTGTCGTCACTGCTACATTTTTCCTACAATACTTTTTGAATCACTGGCATTTAAAGATAACTTATTGTCCATATATTTGGGACAATTAAATTATTTACTGTAAATAAATTGTACGTATACATAAATATATTTCTATGTACACAGGCTATATACATACACAAATATAAATATATATTATATGTACAAATAGCTATATTAAAACTAGTTTAATTGTCTGAAAAAAAAAACAATTGCAATTGTTTTATTTTATATTTATTAAAGATCATACAAGAATACCAATTGATTTTTTAACCAAGCAAACTTCCATTATTGTCGTGTTCTTCTTGACATACTCTTAGAGTAGATGGATAGCCACTAAAAGTAAGAGGGGTGGGTAAAGTTAGCTTGGTAAAATTTAATTGGTCAAGAGGGGGCTAGTTGGAAAATTGGTAAACAGAGGGAAAAAAGGAAGAAAGGTAAAATTGGCAAGCGGTTATACCGAATGGGAACAGGAAAGAAAGGATGTCTGGAAATGACCGTGATAAAGATTCTATCAGGCACAACGACGCTCTAAAAACGAATCTAGGCCAATTCAGTTAGAGGAGCGTTAGCAACCGACAGGCATTTTCCAGCCTGATGGATTTTCGGCGTTTCTCTGCGGGGTGTCTACGAGATATATCCATCTACACTACACGACGCAATATATATCCGCAGCATATACATATAAGTGTATTGTGATCGAGCCACCGCCGATGCCAAACTCTGTGTCCCTTGCAAACCTATCATTCACCCTCGTTACTGGCCATTACGGTACCCAACGTTAACCCATTCTATCCTGTGGAATATATTACTTTACCTGTGCGAACTTCCTGGACTATGAGAAATTCTCTTGCATCGACATCGGCTTCCATTCTACTAGATATTAGGTGTAGTATGAACACCATTGTGTGCCATCACAATCCACCCCCAGGCACCAAATTCTACTGAGCCCTTTTCTACCACCTAACCAAAAAATTTTTATCTTATTCGTTAATCCTTTCAGTGCGATTAAAAATTGCAAACTTCATAAGAAAGTTTTGATACTTATAGAATTACGATAAAATTCACGAATACGTACGCTGTTCGATTTTTCATACATACCGAATGATACGTGGATACGATTCAAAATATCGTAACGCTTTCACAGGATTGGCAGCCATTGTTAACGACAGACGAAATCGAAACTCGAACACTGACGACGCGATAGGCATAAGAGAACGTAAGAGTTGAGTACCAAGGAACGATTGTGACGTTCATGACATTTGAAAATTAAAGTTTCCTTAATTTTCCGATGTAACACGTGGCGCAACAATCACTGTAACGTTATTACTTCCGTAACCTGCAACGTGACGCAACGCACACTACGGACGATGGAATTATACCTTGTATACTAAAGTATGTATTTACTATCTGTAAGTAACGGACGGGTGCACATAGTACATTGGATATAGTTCTTTTTGGCTCGTTTAGCCAAAAACTCAGCATAACGAATGGCCATCCGCATCTTCAGATGCTTTATGTGTATCCAGCTATCCTGCTATTTCACGTCTGACTATATTTATCTATATGCTACGTGCAGTCTGTGCGATAGGTAGACCGTGCAATTTTTAGCGTAGTTCCAGTGCGACATCTTGCCAATAAAAACGTCCTCGACCCTGTGATAAGAAAATGAAAAGAGACAGAATGCCTTTGGATTCAATATTTTAAAAAGGACTGCGCAATTTCGATGCGGCTTGTAGCATTTTTCATAAATCGTTTGATCGCGTCAGGCACACGGATACGTGCCCTGATATTTTTTACGTTTGATACATGAAATTGAAACTGATAACTAGCCAAGTATAAAGCTATTGGCAGCATGTTTTTTTTTTTAATATAAAAATACAATACTCAATTAAAACAAGATTTTATATTGAAATTTTCCTAATATAATCCTTTAACTTTGACCGCAATTAACTAATTGACATAATCAAGCTGAGTGCTAGGAAAAGTGGTGGCTACTAGAGTGTAATAGAGGGAAACCCTTTTTCCTTTTTTTCGCATTTGAAAAGATACAATCTTCGTGGCTTTTCCTATGGTTTTTCCAATGTTTTCGAGTCCTCCTTTCTTTCACTTTACTTTTACTTTGTTTTCTAACCAAAATCGACCAGTGGCGACTGAGCTAGTTTCGGCATTACTAAAGGTAATGGAGCACCAATGTTCTCTTATACGATCGAGTAAAATAGCTAGTGGCATGTAGTGATACCACTTTATATGTACCACAGGGATGTTTGTGTGTATAAGGAACAAGGAAGCTTCTACGAGGCTAGTTTACTTTTCAAGAAAAGTACCCAATTTCAAGACAGTAGGTATATATGTACATACACGAGAGAACTTGTAGAGTTTGTAGTATAGATCTGTGTAGTGTGTGTACAATGGAGCGCGTAAGTAGCCGCTTGAAAAGGTCCTCCAGTGTAAATACACAGGAATAGTATAGGGGATGATATTATCAGGGGAAATCCAAAGGGACATTCTCGATAATCGATTACCCGTTCCGGTATATATCCACCTTTTCTACCTACCAAAGCGTCTTTGCCAACCCTAAAATTGTCTCCGTCATGTGCAAAGCGATTCTCGTACTCAATATTTCCTATTACACATGTCACATCCAACGTACATATAAACTCACTGATACTTAAAATAACATAAAATACTAAAAAAAATACCCATTGAATACTTATGTTACAGGAACAATTCGCGACAGCAATGAATCTCCCAACTTGAATCGATTATTTCCACTGCTATGGTCGAACTCGAACTTCTCCAAAGGCAGAAACTCCAAACTCCTACCAAGGACACTGCTCGCGTGTATTAAGAGTTTTCAAGTGGTTTGCCAAGGTTCCTCAAGCATCTCACATTGAAAATACTTGAAATCGATACCCAAGATTCTGCAACCCCTGATGTCGGTTGTCTATGTAAAACCATCATTGATATCAAATCACATGGGTATCTAGTTAAATAAATTCTAGGCATAGTTTAATAATTTAATAACATAATTCTTATTGGACAATTATATTTTTAGCGACATTCGATGCAGTCGTACAGTCATAAAAGAACAAAATCGGTGTATACACAAGTTCTATCAGAGTGAAACGGTTATTAAAGAACAAGGTACGCAGGGTAAGTAAGAAGAGGGAACGAGAGAGGAAAGGATAAGAGAGAGATACAAGTATATGGAATAAAAGTTGAGCTGATGCAGTTGATGCACTCTCATATTTATCAGGTGCAGTTGCTATAGAAGTAAGAGCAATGGAAGCAAGCAGAGTAAAGCAAAGCCAAGCTGAGTGGCGGCGTGAGGATGAAGCAGTAGAGACAGCGCAGCTCTTAGGAAGGTTCTACGAGCACCACTGGCAACCACTGGCAACCACTGCCACCGCTGGCACCACGGGAAACGATGGGGATGCTGCGAGCTGTTTCAGTCGCGCGACGGCTCTCGCCCTGGCGAGTCGATCGAGCTGGTTTTTTACAATTTTCGAAATTCTATTCATCCTCCCTCATTTTCTTCCATCGCTAGCTTTTTATTATCTTCGACTTTATCTTTATTGCTCGACCAGTTTCCCCCCTCTTTACGTCTCGTTTCAGTTTCCTTACGTATCTTGACATTTTCTATACGGTCAGTCTCCGGTTGTTCCTAGTTATTAATCTTTATCGGATATCTAATTTTTCTCCGGTATATCCAATCTCATACCTCTCAACGTTCACGCGTTCTCGCGTTCCTTCCTCGGACGATACGATTTTTATTCGTGACGACTTGAGGGCTCTTGTGCGATTCTCTGTGCTCGCTGTGAGCGTTTTTACGTCTTGGAGCGTTCTACCCCTGGGAGAAATACGCGCTCCGAGATATGGGCAAGGAAACGGGATGACGTTAACGCAAGGGCACACGAGACCACCCGCCACATGTAAGCAGCTCGAGCATTTATCAAGAATTCACTTTTATGTGAAAATTATTAACATGGGATATTGAATTTATATTTTCAACTTTTTTTTTACCACCCTCCCACTATTTTGCTTGCTGGGATTAAGAAATATTTATATTCTAGTAGCTTGCAGTTGAGAGAAATTTTCTCTTCTGCTAATACTTAGGTATATATGTATACTTGTAAATGTATATACTCGTGCGAGGTCGAGCTACTGGCGCTCTCGACTAGAGCCTGTTGAATGTCCCTCGTAAAAAAAGTACCGGCGGTTCGTCACTCGATTGTGATTTTACGAAAAATAGGGGGAAAAAATTGACGGTGCATAGGCGAGGGATGAATCGGGCCTTAATGAACATAGCCATCAGCGCTGGAAGTAAGAGCGGTCCCTTGTCAAATGGAAATTCGTACTTGATATGGTAGTTGCGTTCCAGAAGAATTTTAGCAACAGTATAAAAAAAATGACGCGTGATAAAAATTTTGAGCCTTAGACAAAGATAACGAGTGAGTATCGGGGGAAAAGTGAGGGATGAAGGAAACTCGATGTCGCCATAAAATTTCATAAGAAGTCAAGTCGAGCTTAAAGCTTAGATACCATAAACGTGGCTTAACGTTACAACCCCTCTCCACCCCTAACACTGTGACCGATAGAAGCTCAGTCTATCCTTCTACCCCCTTGTTAACCTTTCCCCTTAACGTCAAACGGTGGAAGGCTTTAATAAACTTATTAAAGAGCGTATTAATGAGTAATAATAAAGGACGGCAGCCGTGTTCCTCTACAACAGTTATTGTTATCAGGGTGGCATTAAAAATTGACGAGTATAGTGATTTTGCAATAAACGAATATAATTGAATGAGTTATTCGCGAGGAATTGCCTCGTAAAGTATTTTTTAAGAATCCAAGAGAAAATTTCTCGTTAGGCAAAGTTCCACGGCCATGCATCGCAGATAAGGTCAAGCTTTGAGATTAGTTTGAAAATTTTTAATGCGCGATAGAAACTTTTTCGATTTTGATTTTTTTTCCTCTTTTTTTTGTACCTGGCGTCTCCCGTTCATTCATAGAAATCGAACTAACGAATGTTCTGAAGTGGACAAGAATTCCTATGGGTTTTGCACCGGAGAATTAACGTGCAAAAACGGGGTCACGGGCTGCATTACGTTTGTGCAAATCAACCTGTCATATGCCGTCGCAGCTGCAACTGCAACTGCAACGTGCAACTATGACAGACAAACTTTACCTGATAGGATTTACACGTTCCATATATAGTAGGGTCTTTAGTTTAGCCCTCTCGCTTCACATTTCGTAACGTTCAAATAATTGCCGGTTAATTTATTGTACTGTTGTACTAATAGCTTCGACTAATATTTTAAACCCCCTTTCTTTATTGGAATATCGTTTTCACCCATTCAGTCTCAATTAGGTTTATGTCAATTTTGTTAACGGTTCGTTGATCGAGTAAGCAAATTCCATTCTGCAGTATACGATACTATTTACCTTTAATCAACCTGCAGAAATTGACGATTAATCGTCATAATTTAATCTTCGTCTCTACCGTCCATGATAAATTCCTTCGTAAAAAGAATGCCAGGTTTTGAAATGTTTCCGCTAAATTTAGCGATCCTCTCGCAGTCATTCGACACTACGTCGAGGGAAAGAGAGTGACATAGAGAAGTGTGCGTGTTTGCTTCGAGTCTCTCGAGACATTGATTTTTTTTATCTCGTTATTTAGGGGGTTTAGAAGCGAGGGTAGAGAAAAGCGCCTACCGATGGTGATGTTGATGATGACGGCGACGGTGCTGCTGCTGGTGGTGATGATTTTGGTGGTAGTTGTGAAGATCGGTATCATGAGGAATTTGCATTGGCTGCCCGGCGGCGTTAAAATGCCGATCGTCAGCGTAATTTTAGGTTACTCGATCCTCGGAAGAGGAAAAATAAAAGGAGAAAAGCAAGAAAGCGATGAGGAGAGTCAAGAGAGTAATGTCAGACCCAGCGAGTGTATCCACCTCTTAAACTTCGTTAACCCCCTTTTTTTCTTTTTTTCTTGTCATTTCGTTTCCTCTCTTGTATTGGAGACATTCAATTTTCCCGCTTTCACCGTGTCAAGTCAATAGTACTGTACGAGTCGATTTACGCTCACCCGATCCTCGGTTAATTGCTTCACTAATTTACACTGTATTTGCACATCGAGGAATCACTGGACCGAAATTGCCATGAAGCCATATGTATACTTTGAGTGCAGTCGATTCGCCTAGTGATTAATTTGTCGTGTAATACATCGTACGCTTTGAACTTTTCGGAAATTTTTCACAGAGCCTTTTCTATCACATTCACTATTATACGAACTTGCTCTAGAATGCTCTTTTATGCTCAATATTTTTCTTTCATATTCAATACTTACTTCTTACTTCTTACACGGTTAATATTACCAGCAAATATTTATTCTTGATTTACAACGATCTGTGAAAACCATCAGCTCACCCTCACACTTCCTGAAGAATAAATTCACGTCTGGTGAGAAAGAAGAATGAGGATTGATCTTCTACTTTTCCGTGTTTTTTTTTTAGGGGCCAAACGTTTTTTGTCTTCTAGGGAAATTCCATGGGAGAAAAAACAAGAAAGTGTCGGGAACAGGAACGATTGAAATATTACGATGTTGCTTTTTATTTTCATACTCACCGCCAGCCTGGATCTAGGGGTCGAATCCCCTTAGTGGCGTCAGGGTCGGCATTAATTGAGGTTAACCGTAATCCGCAAACAGTCACGGATCCTGCGCGATAAGAGGGATTCTCTTTTCGCTGATGCAATTTGTCCAGGAGCGTCCATTAATTATTCCTAGTCCATGGTAATTAGTCAATGGGCACACGAGGCCTTACCGAACTGTCAAACTACCCAAAGATAATTCTTTCACGAAAGGAATCATTTTTCTTGTCCAGTGAGGTGCGATTGGTATGACCATTCAAAGAGGCTCTTAAATCAGTTCCGAAAGTACGGGTAGCTGATTGGCCACAAAAAAAAACGTGAAACCTGCACTTACCTCGTTAAAAAGGCTATGAAGCGATTATCCAATTGGCTGAATTGGCATCATTTAGTTTTCTCAGTTATCCGCGCGGCACCGCCAACTGCGTTATATGCTAATTCTCGTAGACGGATACAACAGACGTGGAGAGAACTGAAGTTGCCAGTAGATAATAGTATATAATCATAGATAGACGAAACTCGGCCTTGTGCCAGAGAACATTAATTTTCCAGAGGACAAAAGCGTGCGTCAGTGATTAGACGTAGAATGAGTGCCAGCTAACCGTCAAACGAACCCTGAAACAAGCGAGCATTGTTCCCAATGAATAATCAGCGGTACGATACGCCGGATCGTGCGAAAAAAAGAAAGAAGAAACAAAACAGAGCTAACGAAAAATAAAAGGAAGAAAGATACATCCAATTGATACAAAACCCCCTCTGTGATATTCCATTCGCGACGGACAATAAATCCTCTGTTACAAGACACAAATGTCACTCAAGTGACAATGGCTGTGCGTAACGCACTTTGGTTTTGGTTTGGCATTCTTTGACCATGGGAAATGGGTACGATAAACGAGTTCTAGGGAGATCATTGAAATGCATTGTTTTTGAGAGAACTCAGATGGCTGGAAGAAGAAGTCTCTATTGTTGAAACGACGCGTAATATTTAGTGGATAATCGGCCTACTGCTAAGATAATGAAACAAAAGCATATTTTCTTAAGGGACCAAGTTTTCCTTATCTCTTGGGATTTCCTGGAAGACCTTTGTCACAGTGTAGAGCAATATATGTGGTTACCCTTCGGAAGGTGAATTTCTAGTGGAAAAATTGAAAAAATTTTATAACGAAATCTAGGGAATTTCATAATACATTATATAAGACGTTTTGCAGAGACATTCAGTAGGGTACGATCCTTTCTGACATTGATAACTTAATGTTTATGGATTATTATTTACCCTCCGTTTCTAAGTCAGATTTCTCGTTAGGAATTCAATGTCTAAGGGATATAAGAACGTCGTCGTATAACCAGGATTATCCTCGTATCTCACAATAGGATGAGAAAGACAATTGGTAGCATGGCTCTCTCGTGAGTAAGACTGACGTCCTTTGTTTTAACATTTAGCAATAATTGTGCGCACTTGGTCTGTGAAATGGTGAAAGGATGGAATTGGCGGAACGGCTAAAGGAAAGAGGATATTGTGTCGAGATTCATTAGCGGAAAAATGTACCCCTAGAATTTCGTGAAATTCCTTAGGGAATTAGAGTGAAATTGAAAGTGGTGAAATACTTTATACACGGTGTCATGGGAATTCGATGATGCCTGATCTTTCATATCTAGATATTCGAACTTTCAAATAGCATGGATATTTGCCGCCATGAATTCTCGCAGGAAATTTATAAGACCGTCCTCGTACATTCACCAATGCGTTACTTACGTAAATGTACGTGCATTTATGTTCTTTTTAATAACCAAGCAAACATGTCATGTTCATAGATTCCTGGACACGTGTACTCGTCCCCTGTCTTTACTATTGAATGCACCGATGCACCGATTCAACTGGAACTGGCTTTATCACGATACACTTAGCTTCCAAGTAGGGAAACACTCTTGTGAATCAGCCAGATGCTAGTAGAGAAACCCCTGACAAGGCAACCACGACTCTGGAATAACAATCGAACGTGCTTCGAGAGCTCCTCGTGTCACATAATTATCCCCTTTAGTCCACTTGAATTGGACTCTTCAGTGAAATTAGACTCTTAACTTTTGTACTGTTGGCCAATAAGATTTTGATACTAAAACAATACCCTTGTTCTTGTACAGAAGAGCAAGAATGAGTAAGCTGAAACAATTCCCAATGTATCTTGTCAACTTACAGGAATCTGGAACTTGTTTTACGTATGTATCTATTTACCTTACTCATTCGTGCGGTTCACTTTTTATCATTTATAATATCTTTTCTTCTCTCTTACTCTCCTTCAGTTTTTCTCGCTCCTCCTCGCCCTACGAAATTTCGTGCAGACTCGCCACAAATTCTACATTCGGACTTGGTAAATTTATCGTACTTTCCAACTCTGCACGATTCCAACTCCCTAGTCACTTATTTCTTGAAGAATAATTGTGGGATTTCGTGTTCAGCTGCTCTTAAGTTTCTTTACCTTTTTGACTTTATCCAACGCTCAAGTATCCGATAGTTGAGATTTAACCGAATCGTACGTATATTTTTGACATTCTTCAAAGTTCAAACGTTATTTGGTTAAATTATAACAGTTCACGTACCGTCATTCTTAAACCAACCTTGGTACTCACGCATTGTTTGCAGTAAAGTTTACCGGAAATACTCTAGAAGTGTCAAAGGTTTTCCCTTTGACCCTTTACCCCTTTGACGACCTTTCCACCAACGCTTTTTGCTACCTTGCTAGATGCTCGACTTCTTTACCACCTTCTCCCTCCCACAAGAAAGAGAAAAAAGAGCAAATAAAAAGGAGAACAAAAAAAGAATTCTTCAGGGTTACGTCAGCTGGCACGGAAGACTTTACGTGCCAAGCGCGGCCAAGATAAAAAGGCATATAAGGGCGGCGGATGTAGGGGTTGAGCTGCGTTTTTAGGGGTGAAACCGAGTCATGAAAAAAATTTCCCGGAGCTTTATTCAAACTGCACTGTTTTTTTTCTTATCCTTATTTTTGAAACCCCTTTTCCATTAATTGCACCCTTTCTCTGATGCGTCCTCCTCGCACCCCTTAACGTTTGTCGACCATTTCTCTTCGTTCCCTTCGGTTTTCTTCTCTTTCTTAGAAAACGAAAAGTACCCGGTACCGCAGGTTACAGTCGAAAGGGGATCTTTATCAGTTTCAAAACTCCATTTTCACGAGTTTAATTAATTTCTGTATTATCGTCGTTGTTCGTTGAAGGCCACTTAATCGGACGAGGAGAAACTGATAATTGCTAGGCTGATATTTATATTATGGCTCCTAGCATTGGTAGCTATTCGATTTTTATACCAGCAGACAGAATAGAAGAGGACCAGTAAAAAGCAGAAAGACAAAAAGTCACCTTGTAACGAAGATTAATTTTCTTACTGATGAAACAAAACCTCCATCGCATTCCCAGACTGCTAACGGTTGCTTTTACGTAAAACTATCTCGTATTCTTTGGCGATTACTTATGAGTGGCCATTAGTCGAAGCAGTAGAAGTAGATTTTGCCTTTATTACGTGGCAATTTTCTTGCCGGAAAAAAAGAAAAGGAAGAACGTAATAGGTGACGAAACTTTTTTACGAACGCAAAAGTTAACTTCCTCTGGTACTTTAGTTAACGGCACAGCCGATGGCTGTCATGGTTTTATCAATTTCGATGTCGTCCTCCGGTATTTTTGCTATGTCGACCTCGGTTATTAGTCACACTTCCCCTTCCTTCGCAACTTGTCTGAGAACTTTTCTAATAACACACAAAAAAGTAAACATCACGTAACTACGAGATGACTTTTTTTTCATCGTACATATTCTTCACCCACGTGGTTACCAATTCACCTTTTACAATAAATGGTCCCCCAAGTAACATACCGGCGTCAAGCATATTATTAGTACATGCTCATTGAATATCCTGACATACCGTTATATCGTCGTGCTAAAGATATTTCTAGACAGAATATAGTGATACGGTATCCCAGGGAAGAAATGATTGGTAATATTGAACCAGTGATAATTTGGATACTCACAGGAATAGTACTGTTATTGAAATCATTGGCAAAAGGTCAGGTTAGGTTAACGTCTGGAATAGTTGAAGCACTAATCACTATGGGGTTTTGGGGTTTGCTATTGTGGTAAGTAGGATTGTAAGCAGCAACAGCAACAGAGGACTGCTGACTAGAAGGAGGTGCGAGCCTGAGTAGGTGGTTGCTGGTTGCTATATATGTAGAGCGGTGTGTAGCTAGGTAGGCGGTCGGTAGCTTCGCAGGAAGGGAGTTGTGTGGGATGAAATCAATAATACAGCTCCATTCAAAGCATGTCGCCCTGTCTCAAATTTCGTACAGCGTTCAATATTTGCTGGACTTCTTTCTGTTTTTCGCATTACGTCAATCAATTAACAGGTAGCCGTAAATGATTGTGTATAGAATTTTTTTTACTGTGTATCCTACGTACAAGTTGGGTCTAATTATTTAATTGACTTCGTTATGAGCATATTATCGAGTTAAATGACAATAATTAATGACCTACGAATATCGAGGATTTTCAAATTCGCATTGGTTACATTCGCTCAAGAATTAACCCAATTTAATTGTTCCAGGCTTCATATCGATTTCGGTATTAACCTACTTTTTAAAAGCATTTTTTTTCTTTTAGAGAAATGGTTCTCAACGAAACAATTTCTTTGACTTGATACAAAATATGTCCTTCGTATTTGCAATCTACCTTAGCGTAAAAGTTAAATCAGAAAAGCAATTACATGAACTGTTTGTATGAGACAATGAAATTGTGCGGAAGTTATTTTATGATTTTTAACATTCCTTTATGTATATATATGTATTTTTTTTCTATCGCTTTCGAATGACAAATATCGCAAGTTTTCTCAAGGGACCCACGTCTACGATGCCTTTGTCCTTTTTTATTTTCCTTGCTCCAACCATTTTCTTGGTACTTTTTTGTCTGGTCTTTTCTTCTTTCTTTCTCCTCTTCTCCCCCATCCTGTTGACTTTCACGGAAAATATTTGCGAGGCAACCCGCGCACTGATGATATTTCACACGGACAGGGACGCACAAGAGAAAAAAAAAAAGGAAAACAGCATCCAAAGACCTTTTTGTGTGAACGTTTGCGTGCGATTTTTATTTCTCTTTTCGAGTAGCCAATTTACGAAATATTTCTAGCTCTGCGAGCACCGACAAAATACGCTACTCCTGTCGTCCTTCGGTCCTTCTATCGGTTTTAAAGTAACCAGAAGGAACGTGGAAGTAACGAAACACCTAAAGTAAAAAAAAAGACACGTAAAAACGAAGTACCGCAAACTTTAAGTTTAGCTTTAATAAAATGTTTCACGTTCTAAAAAGATACTAAATGTGTAGTAGAACGTTTTAACTTTCCTTTCCGTTTTCAATATTTGCTCTCCGAAGCGTTACTTCCTTTACGAGAGTCCAGGACTGATAAGGAATTACTCAGTACTAACGCAGATAGTATTTATAGTACAGTATCACACATTGTGTATTTTACAGACAAAAGGATAAGGAATTGTTGTATCACTTTATGAACGTACTCAGTATATATTTATTGAAAAAAAATTATTAATAAAACTGACCATAAAAAACGTGAACACTCTCAGTATTTATGATGTGACGTTATATCGCCTATACCATTTGTAAGTCCATAAACGTACTTATTCCTGCCGCTGGTAAACTTTAAACTACTATGCTTTAATATAGCTTTATGAAAAATCCAATGTACGACAAGCGGACATATAAAGGGGTTCATACCTTCAGGCGCGAAACGTGCCGTATGCTGAATATTACTATTCGTACTTCGGTAGAGGCATCACCGTGACGTTGAAACCGGTAGACGTTTTATTTCTTTGCGACTATTAATTAAATCAGCATATATACCTTAGCACGTTGAAATCGGTGTAAAAGAATACAGAGTATAGTCGGACAAAAAATTAGTACACGTGTTTCGCGCTCGTGTATCACGTTTTCATATAAAATCAAGATACACCTGGCGCTGCTAGATCAACGTCGATGTGTATAAGAAGCAGCAACCCCTATACGGAATTTAGTAGGGGTTTTCGTGGCGGTGATGGTAGATTCAATCTAGGAGGATTACCCCTAGGAGGCTTCCCGTTTTCCCTTCAGAACTCACGGTCCTTCTTCGCTACTTTTTCCTTTTCTATTTTTTTTCTTTGGAGACTTAGCCCTCGTCAGTGGCATCCATGTCATGTATCAACTTTCTCCCTTGACCCGTTCAATCCCTTTGCAATCCCCCCCGCCCCTCCCAAAGTACCACCCTTTCAGAATGTCGAGCCAAGCTGACTTAATATCAGCCAAGCGTGCTTTCAAACGCAATTCAAAGTAAAAGTACGATATTAAACAGGAAATTGATAGTTTTGCGAGTCTTATCGAAAATTTTCTTTTTTACTTTATTAATTTCATCGTTTCCAAGGTGACATTCCACAGCAGTGATTTCCACCTTTCCTCGACAGCATCTCACCCACTAGCTAATATTAATGAGAAAGCAGTTGACTGCTGCTCGATAGTTTCTTTATACCTGTTGAGTAAAGCCCTATACCGCCTCGGTTAACATTGTTTAGCCTCGGAATGACGTTAATCAGGCTGGATCGATCGAGATAGAAATTTCTCCGAAAGCTACCCTTAATAATAGCTATCCTTCGCCAGTTATCCAATGACGTCGGTTACCTGTTGAGTCCTTCACTGTTTCTCCGGTGCTGTTCCGATAGATAAAACTACCCTTAAACAAGGGACCGTGCATATGCTTAATCTAAATTCGTATATAATCATAACAATGCAGTACCATAAAAAGTTCACAAGATAAAATAACGTAATTAAAATTTTGCAATAAAATTTGACAGCTGTCAACTGTTTGCGCACAATATTTATATATTCGTTGCCTACGGCGCAGCCAACTCGATAAAGGGTCGAAACTTTTAGCGATTGGTATGTCTGTCTTTCTCGCACTCACAGCGGGCATAAGAAACTTCAGAATCCACGGATAATAAAACTCGGTCGAAACCACAGACTGTATAGCTTGTTATCTGATATCTGAATAAAGCGTATTATATTGATATTATACTATATCGTATACGGCGTATTAATAAATATGAATTTCGGAATCACGTGAAAGTTTATGAGAATTTCCAAGCATCGATATCGCTGCGGACAACGTGAAATATAATTGGCACCTCGTGAAGAAGAGTTGTTATTTTAGCAAAATTTAAGAATATTGCAATTTTACGTTTTATTTTTTTATTTTTTATTAGTTGCCGTTATTTATCGGGCTCGTTTTATCCTTATTAAGATTCGCATCCTTGCATCGCGCTCGTTATTTTGAATCTTCCTTGGCTCAGGAGTCTCTCCTCTCGTTTAGCCCGTGTAACTCTTCCCTTTTTCATTTTTTGCTACTCTATCCTCCTTTTTTCTACCTCGTCTCCTTTCTTCCCTCTTGCTGTTTCCTGGCGTCGAATCTATTTTTCCCGTCTCCGTCCCTTTCCGCCCCATTCAACTTCCTGGCAGAAAGGATAAATGGAGAATCCTCGCGGGCCGCGAGAGCTATCCTTCGTTTCCCGCATCCGCTCGATATTGTTGTCCGGCACCATTGTTGTTTCCCCGCAATATTGTCGTTGTTATTGTTGCAACGGCTTGCAAGCGCCCAACCTTCGTTTCTTCATTTATACCTGCCTACCCAGCTACGCCTTGCCACGTAAATATACATAGACAGCGTATATATATATATATATACTATATACATATATACATAAGTAACATACTTGCTGGGTTTCGTTCGTCTATCATTTTATTTTTTTCAGGTTTATTTATTTTTTACCTCACCACCCTTTCCACCAGTCTCGGCCCATTTGGGGAAATTGCAATAATCCAAGCGAAAATGAAGATGCGAAACTACCCACGTAATTCATGCCGTCGGTCTCGTTACTTATTTTTTGCAAAAAAAACGAATAACGAAAACTATTTATACCACGCTACAGTATGATCCTTGGTAATTTTGCGGAATGCAATTCCCGCGTGTGAGGGAAAATTATACAGTTATTCCTTCGGAAGTAGTTATAAGGCTCTCGTCGAATGTTCACCAACCCTTATTAATAACGAGAACACTTCTAGACCGAAAGGGGTTGTGAACTGCCAGTCGAGCCAACCGTTTAACCAACCCTACCCTAGGCTCGATCAATCATCCCAAAAGTAATTAATCCAACGTACTTACTTTGCGCAACTCACCTTTCTCTTCTTCTTTAACGGTCCTCGGGTTAATCGTCTCTCTCGAAACTACGCAGATAAGATAAGACAAAATGAATGAAGAAAAAAAGAAAGAAAACTACAACGACGCACCTCTTTCCTGTTTCAGACCAAACTAATCGACAAAAGGGACGAGGCCAGAGGAAGGCGGCTCTCCGTAATAATTCGTTGCCAGCCAGAAAAGAGAAATTCTTAGGCGAGACAGGGTAATGGCTCGCGGGTGAGCAAGGAAGAGAAGAAAAATTTAAGGAAGAATAAAGAAGATCGGCAAGTGACCATTAGTAGCGAAGAAAGATTAAGAGATGCTGGTGGACGAATGCGGTGCCGCTATGGGATGGAGCGCTTCTGTTCGTGGGGGTTGGTCTACTCCTAGAGCGGGCTGTACAAACTCAGCAATGAGTTTTGGGGGTAGCGTGCCATCCCTACATCCTGCGGGTTCCTTGCGGTCTCTTAGATCTCAGCACTCTATACACGTAATCAATTAATTATGCATATATATATATATAATTAATTCATCTTCCCACGTACGTATAAATGATCCGAAGTCTAACTACTTACATATGTGACTTTCAGAACCCACCAGAAACTCCACGGAGATGTTTGCATTGTCATCCAGTACATATGGGAACACCGACAAGCTATATGCAACAGCCTATGCAATACTATACACCGAGTCACTGCAGGGACAGGCAAAATGGGACAACATACACTCCGCATCGTGTCAGCTCTTATCACGGGGGTGAGTAGCAGCCGTGAAAATAAGAAATTCTCAAGTTACTTGCCAGCAGGAGATTAGCTCATAAATATATTTGAACGACTGCCGCCGAAGAAGGCTGAACGTGATTCTCAAAGAAGTTCGCACGGTGAATCGGTAATGGCGACATTAATTTTCGTATCCCCTTTGCCCGTGACTCGTAATCTGTGCTAACCCGAGCCTGTGATAGCCTAGCCTAACCCTCGAACCTATTAAAAGGTCCCAGCGTCGAGAAGGTGACTCTTTTGAGGGAGATGGTGGTGGAGCAGAAACAGAAAGAATGGAAAAAAAAGAGAAAATAATAAAAAGAAAAGCGTAGAAGAGCCGCCAAAGCGTGTCAGCCGTTCACGGCAATCTTGTCGCGCAAAGTGCTGTCATTTTTACACGTTCCGTTTTCTTCCCTTTACCTTTCTCACGTGCTACATATATCTCTTACATACCCTTACGTCCCTTACAGACTTTCACGATTATTTGACCATCCCCCTTGCTTCTTGCTATAGTGGTATATATATATACACATATATATGTATATATGTATGTATATACACATATATATGTATATGTATATGAGAGTATAATATTCACCCTTTAGCCTTGGATCTTTACTCTTTCTACATTCTTTTTTTATCTTTCTCTTGTTTCTTCCATTTTCTCTCACTTTTACGCGCCACTCAGCCGTGTCATTTTCTACTCAAGGGGTAATTAAGAATATTGCGTTTCTTCTCGCTTCCGGCTGAGATAACATACAAGCCAGGACTATCGCGCCGGATGCGAAGACTTTGCCTGCTAAGTAATACAACTTCCCTGAACGCGCCGATGATGATGATCTCTCAGTGGTAGTTTTCGCTCACTTTCATAAAAAAGAAAAAAAAAAGAATCATAGAAGAGGAGGCAAAAGTATAAGGGATGAGGAGCGTTAAATATTCTAAAACCTCCCTTAACGTCGTATCGTTTAAAGAGGGTTTTTGATCTTTGCCCAACGTACAGGCGTGCCAGGTTGAAGTGAGTGAATTTTCGAGGGGGTCAATTTTTCTCTTTTTCCTTTCCTTTCCTCGTACCGTGAACTGTTCTCCTGGGTGAGATCTAAGGCCGGTACCCCGTAGCACGTATATAAGAGCGTGCACACCCTAATCTCATCGGAGCTGAATATTATCCATTCTCAGGGCGAGAGGACCTTTCACGGGCTATGGGACGATTAAGTTTAAGGGCTCGTACCCTGAGGCGTAAATGGGGGTGGAAGATTGCATGCAAGATTTAAAGGTACTGAGGTCAGGAGTCAGAATAGGCAGTAGGCAGTAGTAGATAGTAGGTTGGCGGTAAAAGGTAGACGGGGCTATACAGTGTGGCGTCTATACACGCACCTTCGCTTTATTTATTGGATTCATTCCACGAGGGATTTCACGCCGGGAAAATTCGAGCGGCCGATTTACAATCTACAACAAACCGGGCCAGTGCGAAATTGAATTTAATCGACGAGCGATGCCGTGCGGCGGACATAGAAATCCTCCTCTATATTCACGATCTTCTGATTAATTTCCACCTTCGCGTGAAATTTTCCAGTAAAAACTTGCCTATTTATATACACGGCATTTTTTTCCACTTTCCAACCAGACTCGTTAGGGGGCTAAGCTCAAATATAGAAAAATGATGGAAAAAAAATGAGAGTTGGAGGAAATTGAAAAAATAATCTACCCGATATTGGAACGTTAAGGGTGTAATTCTATAAAAAATGTTTTACGATTTTGCAATTTGCAGAACTCCCATATCTAACGGGTCGAACGATAAAGTAGTGTAGCACGGTGGCAATATACTAGATCGATGACCTAGCCCCATCTTGTACTGTACCAACTGCTTTCCTATAACTATCACGCGGATATACGACTCATGTTACTACTCGAAGAAGTAGTAAAAGATTGTTACGAGGACGTGAGGTCACACGTGCTCGGAACACGATTCAGCTGAATTTTGCGAGTCTTTCAGGTGAAGTCGACAAATTTGAATTTTCTTATATGATAAAACGACGATACGAATCCTGGATGTTACATGAAAATAGCCTTTAGAAAAGGTCCGTCGGAATTGAATGGATCTCAAGGATTCGAGATGGGACAGTTAAAAGCCTCGGTCGAGCTTGGATTTTCGCACGAACTATCTTAGCTTTTTGCTATTCTCTCTTTCGCATGTTACTCCATTATATTCCGTCCCTCTTACACCACCGATCCCACATCTGATTCCCTCGAATTGCAGAATAGGAAATTTCGTAAGAACGTCCCAGGATTATCATATTTTCTCAGAACATCTATAGATCGCGTGCGAATAAAGGATAGACGATACGTACAAAAGTACAGTGCAGGTAAATTCAGTGAAAATTAGTTGGATAATCAATAAAATATTAAATGGATGAACTGAGAGATGAATCGAATGTATCACGCTCTAATTCGATATAATATTACAGTTTTTCGTATAAAATTTTCCTAACATTTTACACTTTTTAAATAATATTTCATGTTTGCAAATATCAGTAACATTTTAACGACCTATGCTAACCACGTGTTACTTCCACAGAGAACAGCAGAGAGTATCCTAGTCCTGTTCCTCTTAACGATAGGAGAGAGAGAGAGAGAGAGAGAGAGAGAGAGAGAGATTGCTAAAAAGAAATAAAAAGATAAGAGACGTAATAGAAAAAGGAAAATGAAAATGCATGAGGGAAAAGCTCGTTTTCCTCGCTCTTGTTGAACGAGTAAAAAAAGAGCTCCTTTTATAATTACAGTAACAAAACAGAAAATAATGTGAATGCTGCAACGACAAACAGAGATGGAATCACAGAAGAGAGTAGGAGACTCGAGGAGAGTTCTTTTCGAGAGTCTCGTTATTCTTTCATCGCCTGGACAAGCCTGATTATTTCCTCAGCCACCGTAAAGCACCGTATATCACCCTCTATTCACTGTATTCGCTCTCGAGGCTACACACGCGAACTTATTAGCTACCAGTCGAGATCGTTAAATCCATTATTCTCGCGCTTATTCGAACGCGAGAAATTTACTTGTCGCCCGGTTACCTTCCTTTATTACAAACATCTTCCTCTCTTGGTCGGTTCAGATCCAAGAATGCGTTACGCCGACATGGACGAGAGCGTAGCGGGAAACACAAATTGGTTCCTGGGCGATTTAAGGAGTCTGCATCGTTGCGTGCCAGCCCTGAGGCGACCCGGTAAGTGACCAAAAATAAAAGCCACTTCTGTAGTTAGCCTGTACAAAATTGCGAATGTCGACAGTCATTTAAAAATTTGCTTACAACATTAATTTCATCCTTTTTAGTTTTTTAATTCTGCTCCAGGTATAGACGTCGCTGGTATGCGTACTCATTTCTACCCCGAGGGTGGTTGGGGTTGGTTAGTTTGCGCTGCTGGATTTCTCGCCCTGTTGCTCACCACTGGCATGCAACTCGCCTTCGGGTTGTTGCATCTCCAGATAGCACGTCATATCGGCGACTCGCACCTCACGGATATCGGTGAGTCTGATTATTATCTGGTTATTTAACATTTATATCACCTGCAAAGTAAAAGCTTGTGAAAATTGTGGGTTAAGGTATAGGATGATTATATACCTTATTGACAGCAAGGCTAAAAGTTGAAAGAGATTACTTACGTCAAATTGCTCCATTTTTAAATCGTTTCGCAATTCAGTATACCTATATGTAATTAAATATTGTCCTACATGTGCTATATCTTATACGTACATGTCATATACATATAATATTTCAACCATGTGATATAATACATTAGGAACAGTTGTTCGTTTAGTTATATAAACAATTATCTAGCACCAGTTGGTAATCAATATTTTTTAATAATCAGGGAAAGCTAATACTTTTCACCGAGGATAATAGATAGTGTTTCGCCGTCTCATAGTATATACGGATATACAGGGTATCCAGGATATTCGGTGAGAAACGTATAGGGTGAAAAATCTTTACGAGATCTAGGTAGTTACCGTTGCACTTTTATGAGAATGCATTTGTTTTCGGTTTTGCGAAGGCACGTCGTTGCACCTTTGGAAATTTACGAGAATGCCATATTCCATTTGTATATAGAACTGTATCTAGTCCACTCTGAAATCCCACGTAGAGCACGAGTTTTCTCTTGAGGGAATGCAGAAAAAATACAGATACAAAAATAATCAATTGTCATCGACACACAGGTTTTTTACTCTAAAATTCTTTCCATCGTGTTAAAGAATACCCGCATTACGTAAACCCACGCTGCAAGTCAAGCATCTGGGAATTGACATTAGCGAGAAACAACTACTAGCAACGCAGTGAACTTTTTAACGATGCACGCGTGAAATGCATTTCCGTACAAATGCACCTGAAAGACCTGTGACCTTAGCTGCGCGTAAAAAGGCGTGAGAGATAAAAGGCGATGCAGTTTCATGCGAATGGAGCGAAGGTTATAGTTGATCAGAAGGTCGGAGAGTGCTTCTCTTTTCGTAATATATTTTCATTCCATTTTCTTTTTTTTTTTCTACACTTTATTCACTTATCTTCAATTACACCAAGTGTACTTGACTAGCGTAGTAAGTTTCAGTCATATCGCTATGCTAATGCTCGCAGTGATGAAAATAACTTGGCTTATAGTCGTACCAACATATCATCCGCGTAATTTCATAGGAAAATAGCAATGTTGATATCAATGTACAATTATATTCTCGTTGGTGGTTTTAGCGCGACTGATGGTGTGCCTGGCCTAATTGCACACCGATATAGAATGATCATGATCCTCGTAGCTCGTGATACTACCTAACTAGCTGAATGTATGTCGGTTGCATCTACGTATTTGGTATATGGATTATGCTCAAATTTACTTATCGGTTCTCTATGACTATAGGAGTATCGAATATTTTTCTCGACGATTAAACTTTATGCTGTTTCTATCTATAGAACTTAAAGTTACCATGAGATAATGACTTGACGTATTTTTATGAGCGAGAAAAAAAAGAAACATTGAAATATTCAATTTGTAAGCTGTTATCGATCCTCCATTCCTTGTTGATCTGCCAATTTCAATTGTTCGTTACACAGTAACACGTCCAGCTTCTCTTGATAGTCTTTGTACGATAATTAATAATTGATGTTTTTATGTATACTGTATATATGTACGTGTAACACTGAGGTTCGAAATATTCAGATACGATCTATCGTGAGTCATCGCCATGACCTATGAAATACATTTACAGGAACGCTGATCACTGTACAATTTTTTTTTTAATGTTTCGTTATTGAATCAGCTGGTGCAAGTTTGATGTAAGAAAATATCGAAGGAAAATATAATTTTTATTGACTTTAGTTATCCGAGAATAGTTGGGGTATTGATTGGATGATAAATCAATAGACAGATGATAAGTCAAATACACGCGAAAGGATGATAAAACACGATTAAAATCGCGTATGGGTAACGTATTGAATTATGACGCTCATAAAGTACATTACAGTGTATATTGAGTCAGAAATGTCATGCCCGCGTTCTCAAAATTTGTGAGTTATTTAGTCAACTTGTCTTGTCATAGGACGACGTTTCTCATCATTAGCCTTCTCTCGTGTCGTTGGTTCCATTATTTGCGAGCTGTTTCCCTTCGAGTTTTTCCTTAAAAAATCACGGATTCATTCGCGTCTCCAAAGGAATTGTCGTGAACGTCAAGAGTCATCCACATCATCCGGTGACGTAAAGTGCGCTGAAAAGGAGTAGAGATGGAGAGTGAGTTGCGAAGGGAGAAAACGGCAAAAAAAAATGAGAAACGGAAAGAAAGAAGCTGTGGGGGAGGATGAGAGAAAAGTGAAAGGGGTGGACCGTGGGGAAAGAGAAAGGAAAATAGTCGATAGCGTCCACGACACAGAGCCTAGTATACGCCTGCCTGCCTGCCAGGCTGGCTGGCTGGCTGGCTGCCTTTTGTCGCGTTTGAAATCGCGCGACAAGAGCTGCTACAGCGACAAGGGATGGATGGAGGACGTATCGCCTCGATTTTTTAGACGGGGCTGGTATTAAAAAAAAGGAATGTTGAAGGGAAAAGCGTCTTTCCATTAAAACGAAATATCTGAAGAAAGAAGGAAAAAAATAATCTTTCACTCAGAATCTTTTCTTTTTTTTTTAAGACGTTTTCTTTTTTGTGCTTGCAGCCAGTATCAAGACTTTGGTTCGCTTAAACGTATTTTGTAAAGATTTCTGGTACTGGGGAGTACTAAGAAAATTGTTTTTTTAAATCATTGATATATGCATAATTTTCATGTTCAATTAGTGGCTGACTTCGTTCTTGAAAAAAAATGTTTAAAAAAATTGCTCCAATTTCAAGAAAAATACATAATTGAAGGTGAAAGCAAATGAGAACTATCCCGTAAGGCAATATCCAAGGAATCTTTGTAATTGGTTAGACGGTCAAAGCAATTTGTAATGACCTAATGACTAATGACGATAGAGGCCAGAGGCACTAATGTCATTTAACACCTTCAGCGATAAAATTATAGTGTTTAACGACCGCGCTGTCCTGATCGCTTATTAGAAATCGTTTGTCAATCTTTCATCGTACTTAATTCGTCCATCGGCCGTATGATTTCTTTATAAAATCGTAACGCGACCGGAATTAATACATCATCGCCTACTCATTTCTTCATATTTCACATGAAATACGAATAACGTAGAAGAGATCTTTCCCGAGGATTCTACGTCAGTCTTTTTACCTGTCAGCACATTTTTCTAGGATTTTTTTGACGCTGGCCTACGGCACCTCCCACGACTGCTCCATTTCCTCTCTTTCACCTTTTTTTTTTATTCTCCTCCCTATCCATCCGATTGGACATTTTTCATCGGTATCATCGAGGAAGAGAAAAGCTTCCAGCAATGGTTGTAAGGACTTGGCGCGATCGATCACCCTGAAACGACCTGTAGCACGTACATATAGCTATTCGACATATGCGGGTATCTCTCATCGACTTCGTTAAATCGATTCTCTCTTGCGTAATATTTGCAATATAATATTTGCAACGATATTACAGGGAGTACCGTGAAGTGCCAGAATACGTAATGATAAAACGAGCGAAATATATTATTTTAACAGCCTGATTTTTATTATAATCTTACTCGGTTCATCAGGAAAATTCGAATGCAAATAAAATTCCTATCGAACGTCGTGTTACGCGTATAAATATAATAGGGCGTGTTCAGTTGACTGGTAAATACATCTTGTCAGTATAGAAACCTTACTTGTCCAAGTGAGTATACTTGGTATGGATGCCGGCACCTGTACTCTGTAATTACTGGCAGGTTTATTGCAAGGTTTGAGACCGTACCTACTTGCCCTCCACGTGTAGGTAACATATCCTTCCTTCCATCCATTTTTTCTTCCCTTTTCATTTGCACATGCCCGTTTTTACATGTTTCAACATTTTTTTTATCTTCCACCTTTGCCCTCTTCATCTTCTATTCTCGTGGTTTCTCTACGTATTTCTACGTGCCATTACCTTTTTCTACACACTACAGTCAGTCGCCAAGCCTGCGGCACTCTCTCCGACACCCTTTATGCCGCTGACTGTATTGTGTTTATGCAATTCTCTCTTTTCTACTTTGCTTTCCACGTTGTTTACCACGCTATAAAAGTACCGTGATTGTGACTAGGATTGATATTTTATACGATCAATGGAAAATTATTTGTGAATTCCCTCGATTAACCTCCATACGTTGGAACGTGTATATTTATGTATATATGTATAATAGTTGAATCTGTGCGTTTGTTGAAAAAAAAACGCATCCTTTGAGTCCAATATCCTTAGGGACTTGGTAGTATGGAAAAATTAAAAAAATATTTATCAAAGTAAAAGAAGATATGGAAAAATGTTGTTTCCAACCAGTTTGACGGGTGCGCAGTGACAGAGTGGATTATTTCGTCCCGAGGGATACTCGCGGAATTCAACTAATCCGCTCGTTTCATATTCCCTGAATTGTAGAAAAAGTCTTAGTAAAAACCTAAGGCTTTATTACACCGAAAGCGCTTATTTATTGTGAGCCATGATATTTGTTATGCAGAAGAGAAAATACGATTAGCATATATTTTTACGTTTAATTATACGCGATAAGGACGATTTCTTTGACTATCGAATATATAATGTTGACAGAATTGAAAATGTTTAATGAATCGAACTAGAAATTGCATGGAACTAATTTGCTTGTGTATATCTGTATATATTTATTTTCCTGGAAATTTGTATTTCCAGCGAGTTAACACTGACGCTAACGAGCAGAATGCAACGAGTGATGCATTCTTAACTGGATGCACTGGTTGCATAAACGCAACGTAACATGAAAACGTAAAACAGCAAATATCAGTGTATCACGTTCGTTTATCGAAAGCCAATAACAACGCTCCGCACGGAGAGAATGAAAAGGAACTAATGGACCGAACAATTTTCGGTGCAAATCGCAAGCCAGAATAGCTCGAAAACATACTTGAGACTATTTTTCCCTATATTCCCCCCGTTTCTCTCATGTCTCTTTATACCTTCGACCTTCCCCTCCGAAACCCCTTTATGACTCGCCGTATTTTCTCGAGTACATAATGGCGGTATTATTCGAGAATATGAAAGCGGGGAAAATAACAATAAAGTGCATCGACAATGTTCACGTTCATTTGAAAAACGTCGATTATCCTGTTGCAGCATGGATTGGTGCATTGAGCGCTGCAATTTCACGAGGTTCAGCGCCACTGGTCGTAGGTGCATGTCGACGGGGAAGTACCAGACTGACTGCAGTCATTGGTGGCTTAGTGTTGGCACTTGCATCGCTCTTCACGTCGTTCTCATTTCAAATGCATCAAATCCTCCTTAGGTAAGCTGCTGTCGCATTAATTCGTCATTCGTTATCGCGGCACGTTGACACGCGATTAGCCGGAAGTCATGTGCATTTTATTATTTTATATTTCCGGAAAAAATTTAGTTACGGCCTGGTACTGGGTGCTGGAGCTGGCTTGGTAAAAGAATCCGCAGGACTCGTACTTGGGCATTACTTCAAGAAACGTCGAGAATTCGTTGAAATGGTTGTCCAGGCTGGCACCGGAGTTGGAATTGTCCTTTTCAGCGTCTTCTACAAGGAGGCCATAGGGTGAGTCAATGATTGCTCGTTAACAGTCATTATTAGTAGTTAATTGAAATTGCGTTTAAGTTGAGGAAACGTTCGAGGACGCTCCGGCAACTTGTTAGCCGGATTTTGCGTTTTTGGCTTGATTTATTTATTTTTGTCAATTTACCAACAGCTGTTTATCGTTATACTGGATCGCACGGTTTTCCAATGTCACTGTTTATTCGCGACCATCACGCAGGTGAAGCTGGGACCTTTCCCACAAAAAAGTCAACTTTGCGAAAATCCTGGAAAAGGTCGCGTGAAATTTCAGTTCACGGTGTAAATTTAGGTTAGTGGAATTTGCAAGAGAGAATCTCTTCAATGATCAACCACTGGAGGGACTTGTCTCAATGGAGTACAAAACTCAACTGCATCCACATACATGTCACGGCAGTTGTCTAGTTGCGCTAAGGTAGACGTTTTGTACAATTGACATTAATGTCATTGTCACTGGTGTAACTTATACAGAGAATCTGCTACAAGTTTATTCTCTCAATGGTGAATTTGAACATTAATATCGTGCTCCGCACGATAAGGAGGACGGAACGCTGAAATAAAAGATAAAATTTTAGACCGTCGTACATCATTGCCGTAAAAGTACTTTAAAAGTGATTCAGCAATATGATGAAATTCCTGCATTTAGCAGACGTCGAGTTTCCACAAAATTGCACTCGTCCCGCAGACGAGGTAAAAGTTCAAATATGGATTTTCCCAGCTAACTCTAGTTGTGTCTGACGTGAAATTTGCGGAGTGAAAAATTGATCGACCATACGAAATAAGTAAATGTTGATAACAATTTTCACCTACAACTACGAACATTCTCGATAAGACCACACAGGTTCAATGTTGGCCTTTCGCGATTATCCTTTGACTCGCGACACGCGGCTTGTGTTCGTTTTGTATTACAGTCCGAGCACTTTGTAATTAGAGGACTTTTTTTAGAACCAACTGAGAATTAGAGTGACGACGAGGGTGTGGATGAAAGACGAGGTACAAAGGATGGCGATAAAAAATTAATAGAAAATAAGAGAAACCCAAAGGGATCGTGTGAACTCATACGTTGAATTGATTTCTACACTTTTTTTTAAATATAACCACTTCTCTCTTTCACCCTCTTAAAACGCATTCATTTTCCGCAGAATACGAACAAATTCCGGCAACAACACCGCTTCCAGCTGTAACCTCATTTTACTTGTCGATCGGCCATTAAATTTTGATTAGAGTCAAACCGATGTTTGTCGACTATCCAATCGTCTGAATTGTGTACGCTTCTGCTTAATGCTTATATGAAATCATGGACGCCAGTATAGACGTCTCTGTATACATTCCTTCTATGTATCCCACATTCTTCCTTTCTCTTCCATATAGAATATATATTTCACGTGTCATCTCCTTGATTTTTCATGGACCTCTACTAAAAATCTGTATCGTACACATATCCACATATACCATACATACACACGGAGACTAGCAGGACAAGCAACGATTTAATTTTAATTCATGAAAAAAGAAAAATACTGATTTCACGAAGATTACCCTTTCTGCAGTGCATATTATTACATTCGGTACATTTTCAAGAGTTCCTAGCGGAGCTTTAGCCACCGATTCTATGCCGTGGCCACTCGTACCGGCATGACTACTACTTCCTGCTCCTCTATACATTTTTCCCAAGGCTGCATTGCGGCATGTTTGCAAAAGTATACCGCTTCTCGAACTCATCCGGCCATTTTTTTTAGGTAGATAGCGGATACTTTTCCTTTTTCTTCTCCATCTTAACTAACCCCTAGTTCATATTACTCTGAGCCAGTCTACTAGACCCTTGACGACCAGCGATACCTATACCTAGGCTGAGGTTTATTTTCAGTTTTTTTTATCCACTTTTGTTTTTCCACCCTACTTTTTGTCGCTCCCTCGTCGGATCTCGATGTGCTCCGTTTAATTGGAGACACGCTAATACCTGGGAAACTTCTGTAGTAGCGTCGCGGAACGGTCACACCCACGCACATGAAACATACATTCAGTGTATATATGTATATATTTATCTTCACGGAAAAGCCACAGGCGTAGGTATATGCGTTGGCGTACACGTGGGTAGGTACGTGGATATATGATACTATATATTACAGAAAGTACGTAAATGACGTTATATATACACCAGGTGTATATACATATATAGATGGTATATACGTATATATAGGTAGAGTCAAGTTCGACCCGAGTAAATTGTCAGACCAAGTCCAGGATTCAGCTTCCCACGCTCTTTCGGGGGAATTAGTCCTGGGGGGG